TTGGATCCAAAACTACAAACTTTTCGAATGGAACTTTGGCCTTGATTGATGTAGATGGACCCACCAACATCGTTACGAGATGAGTTTTCGAATGAATTTGATGAAATAAGAGACTTAACATCGTCAGAATTAAGGTTGATAACACCGTCGTCGCCAAGGTTACTGAAATAGACTTCACGGACATAAAAGTTCCCCTTGTAACCTATGTAAGTTTGATTTTTATTGTAGATTTCAGAACTAAACGTAGTTTTGTAGACTTCTTCCCATTCATTCTTCGTGAAATGGAGCAAATTCGAGATATGTGATGCTCTTTTTCTATCATGTTACTCCGATTGAAATAAATATTTGATAAAAGAGAGATTTTGAAAGTTTGAAACTTTTATAAAAATATTAAATTTTGGGGAAATTGTAATGCATGAAAATTCGGTTCAATTCATTTTTGACACTTTACATATCGGATGTATTATCTAAGAATTATATTATAAAATAATAATTTTGTGTTTTATAAGTTTATTTGTATAAATTGATTCAAAAAAAATGGAAAGACAAGAAGTGGATCTGCCAAATGAAAATCAGATTTATATTACGGCATATCTTGAATATTCTATTGGCAAAAAGACAGCAGACCAAGTTGCAAAAGATTTTAAAATATGATGTATGAATAAGAGTATGATTGGTATAGATTTGGGTTGTATAAATGTGATTGAACAATTGTTAATGGAAAGTTCAAAAACTTGGGTGCAATCAGTTCTGATTGCACCCAAGTTTTTGAACTTTGTATAAGGAATTGTTGGCTATGATGTACTGATCATGAATCAGTACATCATAGCCAACAATTCCTTCCCAAACAACCCGAAATTTGTCTGATTCCACACTAATTTTATTAATTTATCTAAACTTTTATCCTCGTCTACAATTTAATCATCAATAATTATTTCTTGTTCTATTTCACTATTATATATATATATTTATATGATTTGATTTAAAAAAAATAAATAAATAAATTAATAAATCATTTACTCAAATATATCAAAAGTTTTATTTTTATATATAAAGATAACTACTTTTAAAAAAACCTTATATATTTTTGCCATGTAAACTATTTTTGCCATGTAAACTTGTCACTTTTGTCAAAAGTGAAGTGAACCGAATTTTCATGCACAACAAAATTTTGGGGAAATAAATAATTTTTATTGGGTCCAAAATTTTACAAAATTTTCATAATTCTCTCTGAGTCACAAGAATAGTATTAAACTTAATCACTATTTCATTTCTATAGTATCGTTACATCTGTATATCTTTTAATAATCAGAAATCGTTTAAACAATGAATTAGGATCGAAAGAATACAAACATTGACAAAGCCACATCTGATTTTTACAAACTATTATTACATGACTAAGCTTATCAATTTTGAATATATAAAAAGCAGTCAACCTGTTTAAAAAACTTCGAAAATTAAGTATAAAAGATTCTTTTCTTCAAGTTAAAGACATTTTGTCATTAGATACTCAGTATTATAATGCGTGTATCTCAATTGTAACACACTGCATAGAAAATCAAATATATTCACCAGTAATTTTCGAGTTTTTAATAAACGTGTTCAACAGTTCATCAGATCTTGAATTAAAAGTCAATATATCGAGCACATTATCTGATATTTTAATCAAAACAAAAAATTGTGACGAAAACTTAACAACTTTTTACAAAGAGTGCTTACAACAAGAAATAATAATGAAACCCTTCCAATATTGAACGCATTATTACCATGTACAATCACTTTGCATGTTTAAATGAGACTCTTTCAACCTTTTACAGAATCACTTTTCTTTTGTTGCCTAAATTTGTCCTCTTCCTCATATCGAATACAACTGCGTTACACTTTCTTCATTCTCACAACTTTTGGCTTTAGAATTAAAGTGTTTACTTTTTCTTGAAGACTTTCTCAGTCAGAACTACTAATAATAAGAATAAGAATATCTTTATCAATAATTTACAGATTGTTACTTCATCATTGATTCCGAAGTTCATGTCCTTTCATGCATCAGCCACTGTTTACTTGATTACGACAAAATCGAAACATTTTCTCATTATTTTATTTCATACATTGAATTCATTAACTACGAAGATTCTATTTGTTCATTATTTGTTAACATTTTAATCAATTATTCCTTTGTTTCAAACATCAGTTTAAGTTTTCAAAGAGATTTATCTTTCATAGTTACATTAAATATTCATCACTTTTCATTCTTACTTTCATCCTTAGTCATTACAACCAATATGTTTTTTGACTGTTCTATTCCACAATCTAACGAATTTTTCTCTTTCTCAGTAGTTCAAGTACTTGATTGAGTACGAGTCCGATTTTTCACCAACTATTGTTTCAGAGTCACTTGACTACGATTACTCATTCATTTTTTATTTTAATGTTTTTTTTTACACACTTTCACATATTGAACTTTTCTTTCGAGATTCTACTATTTTATCAGTTATTTATATGATCAACGTTGTTTGTGACAACATCAACAACGAATTCATTACCGACATTCTTTTCCTTCTTGTCAAACTTTCTCCACATAGTTTTGTAGATGTTTTAGATTATTTTTTTTATCTACACTTGTTTGTCTTTTAAAACAATTTTACATTAATCACACATTGTATTGTATCATTTTTTCATGTTTTGTATCATTGTCTAAATTTCCATAATTCCACAGTTTTGTTGTTAGCCTAGTTTGTCCAGTTGTTTTTAGTCTTCTTTCAGACTCTCCATCATTCTTCTGTGGTATTGACATTTGTGTTTCATTACTTACAAACAAGAACTCACTTGATCAACTTGAAAACATCAAAGAATGTGTTTCATCTATTTTCAACATTTTCTTCAGTGCACTTGAAAGTATCGAACTTGACAAGTATCTTTGTGAGAATATCTATAAGCTCATGTTTTTCTTCCATAAATTTATTTGTATCGACGAAGTTTATTATACATGTCTTTGTTAGTTAAGTCACATGGATCCACTTTTTTTCAATCACTTTTGTTCTGTTTTAGTTGTTTTTATTTCAACACGTTGTTTTTATGCAGTAATTGACATCTTCAACATTCTTTCAGAACGTCTTCATCGTGAACCTTCTAACATCCTTTTACAAATTCCAAGTTGTCTTTTCTCGGTTAGATCTCTCACTTTGAACGACAGAGACTCAGTTTTATCTCATCTTTCAAGTCTTATTCCAGATCTTTTGAATCTTTTCATCAATAAATCTCTTTCATCTAACTTCATCTGATCATTTGACTTCAAACATATGTGTTTTTGTCTTTTTATTTTCCACGACATTGATCTCAAACATGAAAAGATTTTCAAAGTTCTCACTCAAAAAAAATAATAGAATTATAAAAATATCGAAGTCATTGATTCACCTATTGTTTTAAGATGAATAAGCTTCGAAATCATTTTATTAAGATTTTCAATGTTATTTCCAAATAGACAGAGTTCTGTCGAATGAAGATGAAGTTCAATTGAAATGTCTTTATTTTGTCCAATTGAAACTTGTTGACCTTCTCGAAATAATTTTTCTTGTGTATCAATATATGAATTAGAAACTGTAATTGTATATCTTGAACGATAATAATCATAAATTCCAAACAAATAGCATCCATTCCGTTTGTTAGTTGCAATGAAACAGTTTTCAAATGTAGCAGAACAACTAGCACAAAAAAACATTCCAGGATAATCACTATCATCTTCAGAAACAGTGTTGTTTGTGAAAACAATGCTGTTATATGTTGTTGGTTTGGATTGTGCATTGCAAATTCTGGATGTTGCATAGTTTTCATCAATATTCGAATATTTGATTGAAATAGTGCCTTCGCCATCTCCTATTCCAAAAGCCGCATTATATCCGCAATAGTTTCTCGTGATATTGTTTTGGGAAAATGAAATATTGCCATTTCCTAAATCAATTGTTTGATATCCATCTAAATTTCCTTGATTACTATATGTTATAGAAGAATCTTGGATTTCATTGATATTAGTAGAAGCATCTGAAACTTCAATAAAACAGAACTTTCCAGTTTTGGTAGATTTGGATCCAAAACTACAAACTTTTCGAATGGAACTTTGGCCTTCTTTGATGTAGATGGAGCCGCCGTTATCGTTGCGGGATGAGTTTTCGAATGAATTTGATGAAATAAGAGACTTAACATCGGCAGAATTAAGGTTGATAACACCGTCGTCGCCAAGGTTACTGAAATAGACTTCACGGACATAAAAGTTGCCTGTGTAACCTATGTAAGTTTGATTTTTATTGTAGATTTCAGAACTAAACGTAGTTTTGTAGACTTCTTCCCATTCATTCTTCGTGAAATGGAGCAAATTCGAGATATGTGATGCTCTTTTTCTATCATGTTACTCCGAATGAAATAAATATTTGATAAAAGAGAGATTTTGGAAATTTGAAACTTTTATAAAAATAATAAATTTGGGGGGAATAAACTATTTTTATTGGGTCTGGATTTCATTATTCTCTCTGAGATACAAGTCTAATATTAAATTCAATCACTGTTTCATTTCTACAGTGTCACTGCATCTGTACCTCTTTCAATAAAAAGAAATCGTTTAAATAAAGAATTCTCTTCGAAAACCTTTCTTTATATCAAATTCACCGATGACAAATCAAAGATGAAATAACATTTAGTAAGCAATGATTCGATAATGGTACTGAAGTACAAACTCTAGAATACGCTTTCAAAGTTTCTTTCTTATAAGAAATTCCCCTTATGCAAGAAAAACTTGATCATGCAGGACGATGATATGAATGAATATCTCAACATACAATTACTCTATGTAGAATATGATCAATGCTAATCAAGATAAGATTACATTTCAAATTAATCTTAAATCTTATGAAAATTATGTGTAAAAACTATATATTTTAGTCTTATGTTCTTTTTCTAAATAAATAATATATCAAAACCGTATAAAATTATAAAAAATACCAGAAAATCTCTTATTGTTTCCTATATGGCTTAACAACTTCATTAAATATCTCTGGAGTATACTTTGCGATGCCATGAATCATCTTTGCAACGAAGAATGGCTTGAAATTATTATCTATTTGGTAAAACTCATCCATAACCATTGAATGGAGAGCTGTGAAGTCTACAACATGTTCTGGTACATATGATAATGCGTCTTCGCCTTCTTCAGCCTTCTTTGCTTCTCCAAGATCATTATTAAATAAATCGACGCAAGCTTGGAAATCTGCACGTTTTTCCAAGTCAGCGTCTTCACCACCTTCATCGTATTCATAGTAGTATTCCTCTTCTTCGTCTTCTTCCTCATTTTTGGCTGGTTCTGCTGGAAGTTCAACGAATTCGTAAACTTTGTCTGCTTCTTCTTCTACAGAGATGTCTTGTAATTTATCGCGCTTTTTGACGTCTGTTCTTGTTCTCATGACTTCTTCTCCGGTTGTTTTTAGAATTCTTTTCGCATTTTTGCTGCAAGAGACCAAAAAGTCGATGAGAACCTTTCTAATGTATTTGTTATCTGAATTAATGAGTTTGGTAACGAGAATATGATGATCTTCGACATTACGCTTAACATTATCTTGAAGAATCGAAATTCGTTTAAGTTCGCGAATAAAAGCTGCAAGGTAAACGGATCCTGGTAATAATCTACTAACACGTGTGAAATCGCGGATTAATAAAGAATAAATTCCGGCATAATATGGAATTAGAATTCTGCATAAGTGTGCATTTGTGATTGTATCTAAGATAGGCTCTTTGCAGATCTCTGGATTTCCTTTAAATTCTGTTAATGCTTTCTGAAGTTCTGAAAGAGCGTGTGTTGACTTTTTAGAAACGACACGCTCGATTTGCTTTTGAAAACTATTGATTCTCTTCTCTTGCTGAATAACAAATTCAAGTGCTGGAACGCCTAAGATTAAATCACTCATTTCTGACAAGTGATATGAAAATTGGGAAATTCGAAGATTTCGTTTTCATTTTGATAGTAAATTTGATCTAGAATTATGTTATATAATTCGAATTATTCAGAAAATTCAGATTTTCTTCAATAATGAGAAAATATAAAAATTAGAAAATGGTGTAGTTAACGAATAGAATGAAGATATTGAAATATACGTTGTGTTGTGTACATATGTCGTTTATCACGGTATTATTCCAACTTTTCACAATACAAATCAACGAATATCCTGTAAATACTAATATGATTGTGTACTAAGCCGTATTCAAAGAATTTAAATGATTAGGAATAAGATAAAACAAATTAATAGATCTATTCAACGAAATAATATTTTGAAAATGATTGTTTATAGATGTTTCTGATTGAACTCGATTCAAAATGAATAATAAGAATTATTTATGGATTTGATATTTTCCAAAATTTTTTCAAAATAATAAAAATCAATATTTATTTCTAGAATTTAAATTTCATTTTTCAATTTTCAAAAAAAATTTGGAATTAATGAATAATGTTTCAAGGCTAAATTCAGTTATATTATCGAAGTATTGACTTATCATCACCAAATCTTTAATCTCGGAATGAAATTTCTGATTCAAATATAAAATTTTTACCTAATTAAATGTTTAGAGTAAATACGATTGTAGATTTCTATAAGATGGATTATTTATTCCAAACCATTGAAATGGTTTTATAAATTTACTCTTCTGTTGGACGCTCTGTTGGAGCAAGGGAAAGCTGAGCGGCATCCTTGGAGATCTTGAGTGTCTTGACCTGCTCGTTGGAGAGAGCTGGGGCCTTGATGACCTTGACCTTTGTGATGTAGACACTTTCGATCTGGCAGATCTGCTTGCACTTCTCGACGATTTCGTTCTCGATCTTCTCGTCGACGAAGTCCTTGCAAAGCTGCTCAACGCCGTTAGCCTCGCAAGCGTCTGTGAGGGCCTTGATCATGACATCACGGACTTGGCGAGCCTTGTGGGAGTTGGCGTATGTGTGGTTCTTGTGGGAGTTAGCGAGCTTCTTTGTGAAGCCGATTGTGAAGAGGCGGAGGATGAAGCCATCAGCTGTCTTGGCATCGACGGAAGCATCGATCATTGTACGGTACTTTCTCATGATGGAGTCGAGCTTGTCGTGTGTAAGGCGCATGCCGGCGAACTGTGTGTAAACTTCAGAACCAGCAGCGATGGATCTCCAGGAGAAGAGTCTGTAAGCGTGGGAAAGGTCGTTGACCATGTCAGCGTGTGAGAGTTCCCAAACGCGGTTGTTGACGTAGTCCATTGGAACACGGCCACGAGCGCACTTGTTGGAAACTGTAACACCGATGTCACGCTTGCCTGTGAAGTAAGCTGGGACGAGAACGTGGCGCCATTCCTTCTTGATGAAAGAATCCTGCTTTATCTTCTTAGATGTCTTAGGACGTTGCTGCTTGGAAGCACCCATTTCAAAGGCAGACCAAACCGTTTCAACCGATTCATGAATTCAAATTTATTTTTTATTTAATAATATTAATGGCATCCAGATATCAAAAATAAATCTTCTCTTCGACATTGATTTTCATTCAAATTTCAAATTGTGGATAAAATAATTGATCAATTCACATGCGCATTGCTTGATGAAACCTATACATTTCGAATGAAAATCAAAGTTTCACTTAGCCATCTTGTAACTAATGAGCTTTTGTGATTTATCGAAATTGAAACATTGTTTATCTTATTTAATCAATAGGCTTATCAAATAATACATAAGTATATGAATTTTCTTACGAGATAATAAGATTTTACAGAATTTGAAATATCTCTTCTATTTGAGTAAGTTTTAGATTATATTGACTAGAATATGCATTATTAAACAACCACACATAGTAATTAAATGTTGTAATTCAAGCAAATATAAATAATATATGATGATAACATCAATCAAAGTTGATTTTTGAACAAAGACATTGAATCTAAAAGAAATAAGTGTGAACTAGTGTGGCAATATGTTGAAACAATGCTTTATAAAATATACGCTATCTAGTCCGAAAAATGCATCTTTTTTTCAAAATTCATCTGTACTTCAGATTCAAGGTCTGAATCCCAAACATCCATCATGTCAAATCTTCTTGTCCTTGCATTTCCAATCCTATTCATGCCAACACTTTGTGCTGATTCTGGCAAAATTTCACTCTTACCGGGAGAATCTTCATCTAATAAGAAATTGATTAAAAATATCCGATTGAAATCGATTTATCCTTTACCAGATTTTGGACTTTATCAATTTTTTTCTGAGGGGATCAATCGGTTAATAAAAATGTTGTTTTGTGCTTTTACAACTTTTTCTCGATCCTGGTGGGGACACACCCATGCCATCATTGCTCAAAATGCACAAAAATTCTTGTCAACAAAACAAATCAATCATATCAATCGAATTATTTCTAACGGTGGATTTGGACAAACAAATATTGTTCATGTAGCCTCATGGCCTGATGATTTATTAGCTAATAAGGTTCCTTCAATGGCAGAATGGCATTATTCTGATCAGCCATATATACCATTCGATAATTTCTCTTTTCCATATCCAAAGCCAACATATAATGTTACCTCATACATCAGAGATGCATGGGAGATACTCCACGATCCAACTACAACTGATATGTGGGCCTGGACATTCCACATCAGAAATTTAATTCATTTTGTTGGTGATATCCACACACCTCACCATAACGTTGGCAGATTTACAAATGAACTCCCAGATGGAGATATGGGAGGCAATCTTTACTTTCTAACTTGCGAATGGGGAGATGCTTGCAAGAACATTCACTTCTTCTGGGATTCTTGCATCCTTGCATTCCCAATTTACTACATTAACTATCCAATCTATGCATCTGACCTTGTTAAGAACGCATCTCTTATAGAAGACGAGTTTCCAACAAAAGATTTCGATGATCTTACAACAGTTGATGTATTCAAGTGGTCAAGTGAGTCATATGAGATAGCATCAACACTTGGCTATCAAACACCTGAGCAACAAAAACCATCTGAAGAATATATCCAAAAAGCAAGACACGCAGCAAAGAGGAGAGTAGCCATGGCCGGATATCGTCTTGGCCACATGCTTAAAGAGCTCGCAGAAGGTGGTTTGATGCCAGAATTTCCAAATGAAAAACTTAATGCAAGAACTATCATTGTTTGGATAATTGATGGCGCATTATTACTTGGTGTTTTAGTATACGTCATTCTTATTTTACGTATTTCAACAAGATACAATAATACAGGCTTAATTTCATCTTCAACCAATTTGTGAAGAGGAAAAATACTTTCTTTATCTATTAATAAACACATATTTGTTAGTATTTGATGAATAGACTTATAACCATTATTATTTTTCCATAATTATATCTCATATTTTTTAATCTTTCAAAATCTTAGTTGAAGAGTTAAACAAATATTCTTGTGTATTAAATAAATTTCAAATGGAATGTGGAAATTGAAATTTTGTAATTCATTAAAATGATTGTTATATAATTAAGTATCTCAGCATAAATCATTATTACCTATAGATATGTAAATCAAATTATTAGTGCGTTGTAGTGGATTCCTTATGAAGAGTAAGATTTGTATTCACTTCTGACAAATTTCTGAAGAAATGACAAAGATTTGAATTATTATGTTATCATAGATGGTTCTTTTCTCTAATTGTTCAATGCAATTTCAATAAAAAAATAAAATGAATGAAGATCAAGTTGCCCAATTCCTCATTGAGAAAGGATATCATCTTACAGCCTTAGAATTATATACAGAAAATTATGAGCGCACAGGAAATGCTATTGAATGTCTTTCGGACTTCTTTGAAGATTCAGCAAATTTCCTTATGTTCGAAGACATGAGGAGTGTATCTGAAATTTCCACATCAGCTGCCGAGACATCAGTTGTTAGTAACGATGCAATGAGAATTAAAGACGACAGAATCGCTGTTCTCGAACATGAAATCAAAGTTCTTCATGATTCACTTGATGAAGCTCAAGCACAACTCCAAAACAAGCAAAATTCGGTTCAAGTACAAAGTCCTCCAACCAATTTCGTTGGTCCTCCAGATGATTCGGAAGATTTGATATTAAATTATTTAATCTCAAGATATTTGCAATCGCGCGGTCTTAAATTATCTGCCCTTGCATTTAATAACGAAACATCAGCTCAAAAGCATAACGACAGAATTAATATTCCAGATGACGTTGATTTAGCACATCTTCTCCGCTCCTTCGAGTTTGTTCAAAACTCTCCACTTCTTGCGGAAGAAATCGATAAATTACGTAACGAAAAGAAGCAACAAACAGATATTATTCATCAATTAACAGTTGATTTAGATTTCGCAAAGAAGCAAGTCAAAGAATTACAAACTAAGATCGATGAGATGCAAGAACAGTCTCAGCAACAAGGCGAAAACGAAAATGTTAAAGTCGAAGTTCAATCCGCCCCAGTTATCAATGAACCACCTTCCGTTGCCCTTCTCAACGATATCTGGAAGCAAATACCACTCATTCTCGAGAACGTTGCCGACGACAACAAGTTAAGATACATTCATCTCATTTGCGTCATCTACAAATACCATCCAGACAGAAAAATCAGATGCGAATGCTTCAACCTTATTTTTACAACCATTTCCAATCCAAATCAGTCACAAATCGACTTCATTGTCAAAGAATTACTAGATCTTTCTCTTGACGAAGACCACATCTCTGCAGAGCTCTTACCAATCATTTCCCAGTACTTATCATCCAATTCCGTTGGTACTCTCTGCTTAATTTCACGAGTTGTGACTGAATTTTCTCCATTAGCTTCCCAAGACATCAGAACAAGCTTCTTATTCTCCATTGTCAAGCAATTGGCCGAGCACAGTTCCCCAACAGTCCGTGCTTCCGCTTGCAAAGCTTGTGCCTCGACAATTTCCTTCTTCGACGCTTCTTCAGCCGACAGAGTTGATGATGCCCTTAATCTGTTGAAGACCCTCTTATTCGACTCAGAAGCCATTGTCCAGAGCCACGCCATTGACGATCTCTCGCCATCTGTTGTAAATCTTTGCAAATCACTTCACGCTGTTGGCAAAGTTTACTGCGAATTCTGGCTAAAGCACATGTTCTCGTTCGGACTCACCGGATCATCCGCTTTGGCCGCTCTTCGCTTCAGATTGTGCACGAAAGCCATTGAAGTTTCTCTTCCAGCCATTGTTCCAACGAAACCAACAGGAGAACAGCAGATTGCAGAGCTAAACGCGGAAAACATCGCTATGTCGAACAAGCTTGTTTGTGTCCACAAAGATGAATTGAGTTGGGCCATGAAAAACATGATAACGCACATAATAAACATGGCACCATTATATTTCGTTCCAATCAATGTGAAGAAAGATGTTGATAGTTTAGTTTCTAAGATTGCTAAACAATTCGGATCTCAATTCACAAACGAGAACATTGTCCCTGCTCTTCTTAAGAGTATCGATGAAACTGAAGGAGATCAGAAACTGAAATTGACGACATTGTTAGTTTCAGCGATTATTCCTTATTGCGGAAACGAAACTTTCTTTTTACAAGGAAAGAATTTCATTTCTTACGCAACAAGCGAACTGAGAGGTTTCAAGAGCAGAGATGTACAGGATTACATCGCACCAACGTTCTCTTTAATGAGTACAAGAGATGCTTCAGTAAGACCATTGATTTTCCAGTTAATCGATGATTTGTCTCGTTCTACAAGAGTGGCCGTCAGAACCGCCGCTTTGTCAGTTTTGTCGGAGGTTTTGACAACACTTGAACAGAAAGAGATTATTCAATCTGTTCTTCCTATTGTATCAAGATTTGCCGAAGATCCTGACGAAACATTGTTACTGGAAGTTGTCAATTGCGTTGGCGCGATCTCGAGATTTTCAACAGCATTGGATGTGATGAACACTATCAAGAATTTGTTTGATAAGTGGTTCAGAGGAAGAATTCTAATCAGATTGCAGAGCTTGAGAGTTTTCGCTGTCATAGTAAGTGACGTAGAACCACAGTTCAGGGATTCTTATTTGATTCCTAAACTGCAGATAACAGCAACTGACACGGCTACTTGGGAAGAAGCTGGTGCAAGAGAACAGGCATTGATGATAATTATGCAGATTTTGTCAAGTATAGAAGATTTCCCTGAAAATTTGGTGCAAAATGTTGCACAGCCAATTGTTACGGAATTGACTAAATGCGATCTAACAGCAAATGATCCAAAACTTCCGGAACTTAAGAAGAAGTTCGGAATGGAAGAACAAACCTCAAAGTTCTCTTTGTTCTCTAAGTAATTATCATCTTTTTGTTAAAATAGATTTAATCTTTTTTTCTTTTTTTGAAAATTTATTATTTTATTTCTAAACTATTGGTTATATCTAATGTTTCAAGTTAAGTTACGAAATATTGGTTTGTTCATCAGACAAGATGATGATGAAGTTCCATATAAAAGAGAATTCAATTGTGAATTAATCAAATTCCATTTTTCCTTATCAGGATCTCTCCCATGTTCAATATTTTACATTTAAATAACTAAATTAGCTCATTTTTAAGCGAATGTAGAGCCATGAAGAAATATTTGAATTAATTAATTCACATGCATTTCGTAGCCTATTGCATTCCTAATTTGATTTTAATTAAAATATGACAATTATAATCTGAAGATTAATATGGCAAAGGTTACAAAAAGTCACATAGATTGAAATTTCGGGGTAAAGTATTAAAAATTTTGATAAGATAAGGAAAAAATGCATACTCATGCTTTTATTTACATTAAATTTAGTTACGCTCGCCACGGATACGCTGAGCAAGTTGGACATCACGTTCCATGATTGTAACTCTGTTAGCATGGATAGCGCAAAGGTTTGTATCTTCAAAAAGACCGACAAGGTAAGCTTCAGAAGCTTCCTGGAGGGCAGCGATAGCAGAGGACTGGAAACGAAGATCACCACGGAAGCCAGAAGCGATTTCTCTGACGAGACGCTGGAATGGGAGCTTACGGATAAGGAGATCTGTGCTCTTCTGGTACTTACGGATTTCACGAAGAGCGACTGTACCTGGGCGGAAACGATGTTGCTTCTTGGCACCCTGGGAATCAATTGTTGGTGTTGACTTGCGGGCGGCCTTGGCACCGAGGGACTTACGTGGGGTCTTGCCACCTGTTGATTTTCTAGCTGTCTGCTTTGTACGAGCCATTATAAACTTTAGTGATGTAAAAAATTGCCCGCCAAAAATATTGTAAAATGGCGCCATTGCCAATTTGAGTCCACAGTTTTTGAAAGTAATAATTTTGTTGTTGTTCACAAAATTGGCGCCATAATCATTATTTAAAATGTCCGGCAGAGGCAAAGGTGGTAAAGGTCTCGGTAAGGGTGGTGCTAAGCGCCATCGTAAGGTTATGCGTGAGAACATCCAGGGTATCACAAAGCCAGCTATCCGTCGTCTTGCTCGTCGTGGTGGCGTTAAGCGTATCTCTGGTGATATTTACGAAGAAGTTCGTGGCGTCCTTCGTCACTTCCTTGAGAACGTCATTCGTGACTCCGTTACATACACAGAACATGCTCGTCGTAAAACAGTTACAGCTATGGATGTTGTTTATGCTCTCAAGCGCCAGGGCAAGACCCTTTATGGTTTCTAAACTAAAATTGTCATGTTCTTAATTCTACTTTTTTTTACTTTTTAAACTAAACTTTTACTTAATTTACATGGAATAATTCATATTCTAAAGAACAATCAATATAAATGATGTAATTTTTAAGGTATTGTAATTTTTCCATGTAGGGAAGATATTTTTAGTCTTCTCACACCAAAACTATGAAGCAAGAGAAAATCATTCTAATACAAACAACTTACATGCAAATGTAACATTCAATTAAAGAAACTATTTTATTTATAACAAATTCTCTATTATCAGGAGCAATCCAATATTATCAATCAATACATATCATCAAATTCAATTTGAAAATTATTTCTTTTGTTTACAGTGATTGCACCATAGCTACTTTGAAGAATCTTATTCGAATTTATGGACAAAATAAGATAATTTGTCATATTAAGGAAATAATAATCAATAAATGAATAAATTAAGCTTGAGTTTGAAAGTATTGAACAATTTCATTGTCAACTTGCAATATTTGTAGTTGATATTTGGTTTGACACAAAATTACTCAAAGAGAAGGAGTTTGAGTTACCAATTTGTCAAATGTCGACAATCTGCTATAATATGATTGCTATCCGACTCAGGCACACACATTTCTTTATTATTATGAAACGAGGTATCAAAAATAACCAAAACAGGATGAAAAAAGATTAATCAAACAAAAGAAATGAAAATTGACAGAGCTCTCAAAAATGATTTTATAAATTTATATTGAAAAATCATTTTATAATGCAACATAAATATGATTTATCTTTTGAGCATCTATTCAAATTTGAAATTTTGTAAAATTTCTGTTCACAATGAAGGAAGAACTTCACAAATGTCTGACAGACATCCTTGAAAAGCTCATGAGTCATCCAGCTACAAGAACTTTTCACACTCCAGTTCCTACTGGCGAAGAAGCCCCTGCAAATTACTTCGAAATCATTAAAAATCCGATTGATCTAGGCACAATCAAGCAAAAGCTTGAGGAAAACAAGTACGAAGGCTTCAAAGATTTCCATACAGATGTAGAATTAGTATGGAAAAACGCCGAAACATATAATGAACCAGGAACTACTGTTTCTATACTAGCTGCAGAAGGTAGGAAGGTATTTGCGGCATTATGCAGAAAAGAAAACATGTTTTTACTATGCACATGGTGCAATGAAGCTTATCGACTAAAGAAGAAATTATCAGAAGTAATTCAATCTGCTCCGAACAAAATCAAGCAATACATTAACAACCAGTCAAACCAAAAGCAAAACAAACAAAACAATACCTTATTTACCGAAACCGAAATGGTAAATTTCGTTAAAGCTTCGAAAATGTTACCAAGTGAAGATTGTCAGCGTGACATGCTTAAGATCATAAATGAACATCAGCCGGAGATTGATACTGGTCTTGAAACTTTGGACGTAGATATTACAAACTTTTCTTTACCTACAATGCATGCTCTTCAGGATTATATGAGATCCACACTTGAGCATGCTGGCCTTAAGTATCCCGAATAATTTTTATATTATTTCTTTTAATTTTGTTTTTATTTTCTAAAAAGTACTTTTCTTATAGTCAGACATATTTGAATTAGTATGATCTAAGGTAGTTAATCTATGCAACCGATAAAAAGAAAGAAATATTTTTATTATTTTTTTATTCCATGAGATTCGCTAAGAAAAAAACATTGTAAGCGCAAACGTGAGGAGCAATTAAATCATTTAAAACGATTTCTCTTCTTTACTCGCAACAACTTGAGGGTCGACTCTATTATGTATTTGTTTGTCATATGATAAATCATCTCTGAAGATTTTTGATCTTGTTTGACGAAATTCTGAATCTAAATCAATGATTTTTTGACGAACTTCTTTTTGTTCTTTTTCTAATTCGGCAAAATCAGCTCCATCTTGCTTTGCTTTATGAATTTTGTCTCTTACTTCTTCTAATTCTTCGATTAATTTACGTTTTTGAGATCGATAATTTTCAATTTTTTCTTTCATTTGATTCATTTTTTGCATGTGTTCTTCAGGTGACAACGGAAGCTTAAATGGCGGCTTATTTTCAACTTCTTCTTCACAATGTACACTGCTTAACAAGCTGAAAAAGAAAAGAAACATTTTTTTTTATAAAATATAAAAAATGACACAATAAAAAGGTGACTTCCCAAATAAAAGTGACAAGACATCGAAATTTAAATGTCTATAACTCTTGATAACCCACCTGATGAAACTATTTCAGATTTAGCGTTTTCTCCAAGTGGAAATTACATTGCAGCATCTTCATGGGATGGTACTGCTCGAATTTGGGAACTTAATGATACTTTTACAAATCAGCAATATAAATTCAAAGCTAGCGAAAAACAAGAAGCTATTACGAGAATTGCATGGGATCCTGATGGTTCCAAGCTATATTACGGCACTACCGAAGCTAAAATTAAGTCATTAGATAATGTTTCAGGTAAAACAGATGAAATTGCAAATTTGGCTCCATGTGGACGTATATCAGGACTTAAGTATAGTGAAGTCACTGGTGGTCTTATCGCTGCTACAGCCAGAGGCTATATTATTTTAGTTTTTCCAGATAAGTCAGAACCAAAGCTCATCTTCGATCCAAACGCCAGCAAAACAGGTGCCTCAAGCATGGCTGATTTATCAATCATAAATATCGCTGTCGGCCAAAATTATCTATTTTTCATCGGAAACCATACAACACCAAAGCCCGATTTATCCCCTACAGACCAGGTATTCTACTCCGGTAACTTGGCCCCTGCAAATGGTATTTTCGAAGTAAAACCAGTAAATCATCAACTTACGAGCCAATTGATGGCTTTGGCCGTTTCCCAGGACGACCAAGAGTGGGTGATCGGAAGTATCACCGGACAAATCGAATATAAGTCAGAAAACGATACAGAAACAAAAGTAGAAAAAGGACATCGTAATGATACAACCAAGGACATGTACGCAGTTAACTGCCTTGCCTTCTCGCCAGAAAGACCATTCATTGCTTCTGGCGGCGGAGATTCTTCAATTATTTTCATCAGCCCAAGAAATAAACGTTTCAAAGCTATTAAGGGTAATGGAAAGACACCAACAGCTATCGCATTTAGCTATACAAATGGTGCACTTGCGATTGCAACCGGATATGATTATTCTCAAGGATCTTCAGCATATTATAAGTCTAAAGAGCAAAATGCACCCGAAATCATCATTAAGAAACTCACACAAACAGATTATGTATAAAGATAGAATTATTTATAGAATATTAAAAGTTTTTTCTTTTTAATAATACTCTCAACAATATGTTTCTTTCTTAATTTGCTCCAAATAATATTCCCATAACCAGCATGATTATTTTTGAAATCATGATTCACAAATCTTTTTATTTTTTTAGTAACTTTTCAAACTAAGATCATATCATTCATATTTGGAGCCTACTGACTCTATTTATCTTATTTATTTGGAAATCTATCGTTTAGATCTTCGTGCTACTACCTTTTTTAGTCTGGAGCGCCAAATTTTTTCTCAAATATTTTTTAATTATCCGAGTGACTCAAATTAGTCGGCATTTTCAAAACTCAGTATGTCAATTTTAAATCTCAGTATTGATTAAGGCAATAATAATGAGGGTTTCTTGAATGTAGAAGAATTTTCAACCCAAGAATACCAACTCAGAGCTTCGAAACCTGATATCAATACCCGGCCGATTCCCTTATAATATTATTCATAAGATTGAATAATCGACAGTTACAAGCCGGCTGGAGTAAGAAGTTTAGCTGTTTCTTTGCTATTATTCAATCTTGCAAAATGAAGTGCGGTTTTTCCACCTTCATCTTTTTCAATGATATTCGCACCATGTGAAATAAGAAGTTTAGCTATTTCTTTAAAATTCCATAATGCTACAAAGTGAAGAGCGGTTCTTCCATATTTATCTTTTTCATTGATATTCGCACCATGTGAAATAAGAAGTTCGGCGGTTTCTTTACTATTATGAGCTACTGCAAAATCAAGAGCGGTTTTTCCATCTTCACCTTTTTCATTGATATTTGCACTATGTGAAATAAGAAGTTCTGTTATTTCTTTTTTGTTTCTTTCTGCTGCAAAATGAAGTGCGGTTTTTCCATCTTCGTCTTTTTCATTGATATTTGCACCATGTGAAATAAGAAGTTCAGCTGTTTCTTTACTATTATTCAATGCTGCCATATGAAGTGCGGTTCTTCCATATTTATCTTTTTCATTGATATTCGCACCATGTGAAAGGAAGTATTCGAGTAAGGATGGAATATTGAACCTCGCTGAATTAATAAAGCATTTGTTAAAATCATTAGTTTGATCTATATAAATTAAAAACGATTCCATATTATTATACCATGCGCAACACTCTAAAACAATCTCCAAATTGTATTCATTCATCACGAATGTAACAAAATCAATGTTGTGTGAAATAATTGCATATTCCATGCATTCTTCATTTGGTGTATGATATTTCAAACATTCACTCATGATATCTGGATTTCCTCCTAAAAATGAAAATTCTAGACATTTTTGAGTTATTTCTGAGTCAAATTTCGTTCTTAATAACTTGAATCAATCAACAGCTCCATGGTAACAGCATAATTCAAGTAATGATAATTCATCAGAATCTGAATATAAACTACAATTAAGTTTTTGATCTTTATCAAATTCATCTCTTTCCGTGAATATGATGAATCTTTCGAAGTCATTGTACATAATTGCTCTGTAAATTGTATTTTCTGTCCGAAAATTGAGATTTTCTGGGTTAATTGTTTTGAAATTATCAGATTTGTTTAATTTAATTCCATATTCTTTATAAAATAGGTATCCAACACTTAATGGAACTTTGACTTCCTTGTTTATTTGATAATTATCATATATGAGTTTGGCGAGAGAAAAATAAGCCTTTGTATAGCAATTATTATACGGAATGATACGTAAAATGTCACTTATAATAGTATGAGGAATGCATTTCTTTGAATCAATCAACTCCGTTTTGAGCATTTTGTAAATCTTGTGTATTTCTTCTTCATTTTCAGTTTTCAGCTGATACAATGCATTATATGAATCGATGTAGTATTTATACATACTTCGCAATTCACTGTATTTATTTGGGTGAGCGTTTTGGTCAGACATTATTAATTTTTTTATCAGGTCGCATTCCAATTTTAAAACACCTTTAAAATTCATTGGGGAAAATTAATACAATTTGTGGAAAAACTTAATCAAAATGCATAAAGTAAATCCGATATCTATGTGATCATTGTTTTTCCACAGATTTGCTTCTCGCCTATATAAGATGATTACTCATTTTAAAAAATTCACAATATAGAAAAACAATATTCAAACAAATAACTTTATTAACATATTCTATTACACAAAAGCTGCTGACAATCTTCTAAGAGGAAGTGAATTTCTATCCATCTTTGCGATTTCATCCTCAATACGCTCGTTATCCTTCTTGATTGCGGTAATCTGTCTATCATATGATGAAGCTTCATCTTTTCTTGCACATATAAGTCTAGCCATAGAAGCACATTGTTTCTTCATAACCATTACATCACTTTGCTTCTGAACTATTTCAGCATTCTTTTCTTCAAGCAGCGCTTTCAATTGCTTGATCTTTTTTAATTCTTCTTTGAAAGATAGCTGCTGACCTTCTTCTTTATTGTTTTGAAGGACTTTAAGAGCAGACAAACGGGATTGAAGTCTTGCTAATGTGTCTTGTTTTTGACTTAAGTTGGAATCTGAAGTAGATTTGGTTAATCTATTTTCACTTTCAAACATGATCTTTTCCTTTTGAATATCACTTGTAAGCTGAGATATTTGACGGATCAACTTCTCTCTGCTCAAGCGTATAGCACGTAAATTTTCATTTTCTTGTTTTTTAGCTGCATCAATCGCTGATTTTGCTTCATTTCTTGCACGAGAGATCTCATTGGAAAGTTTAGAAATCATAAATCTAAGCTTTGCAGCTTCAGCTCTCCTTTCCATCAAGACTTTATCCCAAACATCATTTTTCTCACTTAACTGTAATTGAAATTGCTGTTGCTGCTGTACTTTAAGCTTATTAAGACTTTCCATTTCCTTTTCTGCTTGAATATTGATTTCTTCAATTTGAGTTCTTGTCCATTGTTTGGATTGCTTTTCTTTCATTTCGTTTTCCTTATCAATCTCTTTTTGGGATGGACCTCTCTTGGTTTGAGCAAGTAATCTTGAGATTGAAGTTGTATTTGTTGATCTTCTTTGATTTTTATCAATACTAGAATAGAATCGAGCAAGAGAAGCCTGAAGTGCATCATCTGCCTTTTCTTTCCATTCTTTCGTTGCATCATAGAGACTTGAATTTGATGAATCTAACATTATGTAAATTTATGTACGTTTAGATTCAATTTTCATATGAGATTTCAAATAACGATTTAACATATTATGATGATTATAGCACAAACAAGTATGCTCAAGTTTTTGATTTTTGATAAATTATGAAGGATATTCGAAGTTCATTTCGTTTCATTTATCATGATATACATTATATTATAGCCCCTATTGCTCACTTATAACAAACCAAGCGGTTCCTTGGCTATAAATTAAACAGTTATAATAAAATGATATGATACCAAACCAAATCATCATTATTCTTATGGAAACAAGGCAGTTTAACTAAACTCAAACATATTCCTAAATGTTTAAAATCTAGTACAACCAAATAAATAAGATAGATTCCAATATATAATGTTATAAAATCAATTCTTGATTTAGTTCATTTATGTAAAAGTGACAAGTTTAACATGTCGTGGTTAGAAAGGCGAATTCATAGTCTTCGGTCGACAGGAAAACTAAATCTCCCATCCGAAAAGGATTTCAATGCTCAGTTGCTCGCAGACAAGAAGTATGTGGCCGATGTCAAGCTTACAAAGTACCTTAATCTCAGTCGCATTCCAATCACAACATTTGAAGGAATTCCAAAACTTCCAAAATGCTTAGAACTTATCGCTGATAATATTTTACTTGAATCTTTAAAGAACATTTCTGCTTTTCCACATTTAAGAAAAATCTCGCTCAAGAATTCAACAAACATCAACAAGAAACAATTAAACTTATCATTGGTTATCGCTCTTCCTGATTTAGTATCTATTAACGGTAAAATTATCCCAGATTTAGTTAAAAAGAAAGCACAAAAGTATCCTTCATATTCAGCACAGCTAATTAACAAAGGCTGGATTGCAGAAATCCCATGCCCAACAAGCGAAGAGCTGAAACAAATTTGCGAACAATATGGCGTCGAATATCTTGAAGATGATGCTGATTTAGAAGAGTCAGAAAAGGAGCAAGAAGCAGCAGAAAATGATCTTGAATACGATTTCGAGGATACAATTGCATTCCTTCACAAAGCTCATGAAGATATGCTTGTCCGTTCTCAAGCAATCTTCGGCATTGTCGGAGACGAAGAACCATTTAATACTCAACTCTCAGAACTCTTGGCAACTCATGGAGTCAACATTGAACCATCAGATTCAGATGCTTTGATACATGTTGTTCAAACTCTTTGCGACTCTGCCACCCAGTAATTTTTTTGTTTAAACATTAGTTTTTTTTGTCTTGTGCGCGTAAATATTAAATCTATTTTTCTAATTCTTTTTTTCATCTTCAAAAAATGATATTTATTCTTATCTGTATCTAGTCATCTGAAGAGATTCAGTACAGAATTAACATATATTGAACTAAGACATTTGCATTGAAAGAAATCGAATCAAAATTCTTGGAAAAAAGAATGATTAGCATTCGCGCTTGTGTACTTATGCACTAATAGTTACATTCTAATATATTTTCAAAAAAGTAGAAGTCACAAATCTTTTTAGTTGATGGAAATCTAAAATTTTTTAAAAATTTTGAGTCACTTTTTCACATCAAGTAATGAATAAAAAACTTTCTGATCTTCGTAACGCTATTAAAAGGATACGATTTAAGCCCGGAGAACCTGCATATCTTGTCTCGATGTCATTCTTCAACGAGTTGGAACAAAGTGCAAAAACGAATTTTCCAGTCACAATCATTGATAACTCATCACTGTTCAAAAAAGAGACATTTAAGCCTAATTTGAAGGAAGGTGTCGATTACATTACAGTTAATCAAGATATTTGGGATTCTTTACAAATGGAATACGAAATTAAGCGTGAAGCCAGGGTCAAAGTCCTTGACAATGGCCATCCTGAATTATATCCACTGAATATAACAGTTACATATAAAAATCAATCTCGTAGCATGATTATTAGCAGAAATGCAGATATGTCTAACTTATTGTTACGTGTTATCATGGAATTTATGATACCACAAGATCAACCATTCGATTTATATACTACTTCATCAAAAGAACCATTACCATTAGAAGGAAATGTTGTAGATGTACTTAAATCAAATTATAAAGTCGATGTTCGTCCAGTAGAACGCAAAAAATCAGATGCACCAGAGAAAGTCAAAGGAATCAAGACATTATACCAAACATTTACACCAGAAAAAACTACAAATCAAGAAAATATTTCACAAGAACAGACATCCGCAGAAAAAGAATCAGAAAAGAACGATGAAAATGACGAACAACAGACAGCTACCCAACCAGAAATGGAAAAACCAAAAGTAAAACCATGTGGAATGTTAAATCTCGGTAATACATGTTATTTGAACGCTTCTATACAATGCCTAGCTTCTATACCACAATTTGTACCAGCATTACAATCAGTAGATAGTCCACAACATAAAATAACCCATGCACTAAATTTTGTTCTTAATACACTCCACGAAAGAACCAATGCTTCATTTGATCCAACCAATTTCAAGTCCCAGCTTGGCGAATTCATCCCTCTTACGCGTGGTTTCGAGCAACAAGACGCCCATGAATTTACAACCGCTTTAATTGAGAAGTTACAAAGTGAAGTTCCCTCTGTTGCGTCACTTTTCTTCGGTCGCATGATTTTCCAAACTGTATGCGATAACTGCCACAAAGTTACAGAATCGACTGAAGCCTTTACATCCTTAAGTCTTCCTGTTGCTTCTGCTAGAAGAGTTTCATTTGTTCCATGGTCGATGGACTCTCCAATGACCAAAATGTTCCAACCTCCGAAAACAATCAATCATATTTTGGTAGGAGATGAAAATGAACATTATAAAATCATTGAATGGCCAGCATTGAACTTTGATGATGTTTATGCATTGGAAATCCCTCAGAACATGAAGTCAAACAAAAGCCTTGCAATAGTAAGAGTCAGAACAACAGATGGAGGACATTTCTTGACTTCTCCAATTTTGGTCGAAGTTCCTTTAGGCGAAAAAGTGTCACCAACAAGATTGGTCGGAATTGTAGGGTCCAGAATCAATAATTTGTGGGTGAAGGAGTTCCAGCAACAAGCGACACAGAACTGGAGAATTGCTGTTGGATACGAGCGCTTCAAGAAACCACAAGAAGGTCTTTTGTGCTCTGAAGAAATCGTTGTAGAAGTCAAGTCAAGTTTCACTTTCCCAGAAAAAGGATTCAAAGATATAAGATCTAATTATTCCTTGACAACTGCAAGCCTTTCTGACTTGATTACAACATTCTTGGCACCAAGCAGACTGGACCAAAACAATACTTGGAAGTGCCCATACTGCGAGGAATCGACAAGGGCTGTTAGAACAGCTCAAATTGTCTCGAGTCCGGACGTTTTGTTGGTCCAACTCAAACGGTTTTCGGTTGGAAAATTAAAAGTTGATAGAGATGCGACATCTGTCGAATTGCCTCAGAATATAGAGTTGGCAGGTAAGTCATTCGTACTTAGAGGTGTTGCCAACCACTCTGGAGGAACAGGTGCTGGTCATTACACTGCACTTTGCAAGAGAGGAAATTTCGTATTTAATTTCAATGACTCGAAGGTGTCTGTATCACAAGGTTTCCCAGCTGAATCATATGGAGCTTATGTTCTCTTCTATTCCGTTGAATGTGAAGAAAAACAATAATATTATTTTATATAGATTTTTTTTTGAACTATTCTGATAGATAAATAGATTTAAATAAACCCATTTGTTTCTATAATAAATATTCTTATTACTTATTTTTCAATTATCTAAGAATTTACTAAAATTGAATGTGATTCATTATTCTTTTATAATAAAATATGTCAATAAATGAAAATATCTGATACATAGGTAAAATTATGCAATATAAACCAATGATTACACATGAATCCATATTAATTTTATAAATTTATCAATGATATATCAATTTGTTTTAATACGATCTTGTGTTTGACAGTTACATATGCTTGTTGTTAATCATTTACTATTAAAAACATTCAAATATGTATTATTCAGTTGAAATCGATTTGATTTATTGCATAAAGTTTCGTTTTTGATCTTCGCTCATGAGGAATCAAAGCACTATCTGGATGTTACCTTAAATATTAAAGAAAATCAATGGGTTAAACTCTTTACATAAAACGTGGGTTTTACACGCGCTAACCCCTGTAACGTCTCAAACGGCTCTCAATTGGAGCTAAGATGTCGAAGGAAGCAGGATATAACTTACAAAAGCTAACCAATGTCACAGATAACCTATTTATACAATATGTACGTGTAGCATACTTAACTCTTCTTCCAAATCAGCTTCAAGAATATTTTCAAATATTAATATCGCATTTTTCTCATCGTTTGCACACAGATGCAGGAAATGAAATCATTTCAGGACTTTGTCGTGTAATGAATTTAGAAAAAGCCGGTGAAATTTTCGAACAAAATGGTTTTATAAGACAACTTCCATTCAAACAAAAGCAATATACAACACAACTTCTCGATTTTCTCTTTTTCTTAGTAAATAAAGCTCCGAATTGTTTTGATGACAAAGCAGCAGCTCAAATTGCACTTCTTGTTGAACAAGAGCCTAGAAAATGCTTAACTCTTCTTGCATTTTATGCTCAGCAGTACGATAAAATCCGCGATCCAATGCCATTCCTCGATATTTTATTTCATGAATCGAAAAACTTCAGATCTTCTGACTGTATAGCCGATTACATATCATTACTTATCTGGCTATTACGGCAATACCCCAGATTTGCCGAAGAAAGGCTCGAACATTGCTGGTCGTATCTTTTAGATATGCTCACAATTACAACAGCCAGCCACATCTGCATGATATACAATGGCCTATGCGCTGTATACGAAATCAATCCAGAAAAGGTCAAAAAATTCGGAATTCCGTCCGAAGCAATTGCTTGCCACGTACAACACAGATCCACACAACAAGCAACTTTATCTTTACTTATACGATACCCGCCACCACCAGACGCTAAGTACATCGAACAGATTATCTTAATTTTGACAGAAATTGCAACTTACGACGAAAAAGCTACCTTACTTTTACTAGAATTAGCCATGGAAGAGTCCAATTGCAAGATTCTTGTCAACAACTCAGAATGGATGTGCAGATCACTCCCAAGAACCCTAGATACACTAAGATTGTTCGGCGTGGTCATTCTCCATGAAAGTTTGAGACCGGCTATCGTTGAATGTCCAAATACAATTGCATTTTTCATGTCACTTTTACAGGTAAATTCTGTTGGTGTTTGCAATGCTGTTTGTACTATTATGAAGCGTCTTCCGTTAACAGTAGAGTTCGTATTCAGTTTGAGTTCATCAGGTTTCCTCGCGGGATATTTCGGAGAAGCGAGAGAAATCAGTGAAAAAAAGTCAGTTGAATCATCCGCACAAATGTCAGTTCAACTTTCTGCTTTGAGATTGTTAGATACATTGGCAAGAGTCAGGTTCGTTCAGGAGTTCATGGACATGATACCTTTGGTCGTTGACTTGTGTAGGACAGGAAAAGAACTTGCTCTTCCTGCTTCGGCTGTAGCAGTAAGATTGGTCAGATATCCGAAATGCGCGAAAGAAATGAAAGCAAGGAAATTGGATGAGTTTTACAAACAGCCAATCGCAGATCCAAGGGTGAAGAAGTATGGAGATAAGTTCTTGGCTGTTTTGAGCAAGATAGAGTCACAATTATCTCAATGATAATATTATTTTGTTTTGTATTTTTGTTTATTATTTTAAATAATTAAATAAAAAGTCTAATTTTTGAAATTTATTGTGGGGTTTATTATTTTAAGTCAAATTGAATTGATCTAAATATTTGATTAACAATAGTTGAGATCAATATTGATCAGAAAATTGAAAACATCTTTCAGAAAGCATTCAATCTAAAAAAATTTTGACATCAATTTTTAAATAGCTTTTGAAGAAAATTATCAAGACAATGATCGAATACTATATTCAACAAATGGTGTTACCGATATTGAGATCAAATCTGACTGCGAGGTCATCTATGGACAACTTGGACCCTCAATCTGTCTAAACTATGCATTTGAAGGAAGTAAGAACACACTTAAGTCTGTCAGATTTCAACAAAATTCCAAGCTTAATACAATTGGTGATTGCGTATTTAGCAGCTGCTCAAAACTCAAATCAGTTGATTTTTCAAATTGCAATTATCTTAGAATAATTAATTCGCGTGCATTTCTCTCATGTACTTCCTTAGTTAATATTTCATTACCATCATCTGTTCAAGTTTTATCTGAATATTGTTTTGCAAACTGCTATATACTCGAAAATATTTTTATTCCAAGAGATTCAGAACTTCAGACAATAGGATTAGGATGTTTTAAAAATACAATCATAACAAAACTTTTCATTCCAAAACACATGTCTGTGATGGATGGGAAAATCGTTTCACCTCAAACACTAAAAACAATAGAATGTGATGAACAAAATGAATTTTTCACATCAGTTGATGGAATTTTGTATTCAAAAAATAAGAAAATATTGATATGTTTCCCAGGAAATCATTCAAAATCATTTACAACTCCTGATTTTATTGAGAAAATAGGAAGTTATTCTTTTGGATACTCTTTAATTGAATCAATTATTTTCACTCCAAATGTAAAAACACTCGATACATGTTCATTTGCTTATTCACATTTAAAATCAGTGAATATTCCAAACACTCTTCAGTTTATAAGATCTTGCGAGTTTATTGAGTGTAAATTTCTTACTGAAATCGTTTTGGGAAATGATGTGAGAACAATAACACCAGGATGTTTTTATGGAACAAATATATCAAGTATAATATTCCCAGAAGGGTTGTTAACAATAGGCCATACAGCTTTTGCATATTGTAATAATCTCAAAGCTGTAACAATTCCGAGATCAGTGAATTCTCTTGGAGGCCAATGTTTCCCTCCTCAGACTGTTATCACATTCGCAGATGGATCTCCTTTTTTCCAAGATGATCAAGGACTGATATATAATTCACGAACCACACTTATTTTATATATTATTGAAAGTGATTCATACACAATTCCATCATTCGTTGAAACAATTCACAATAATGTTTTCAGTGGTAACAACATATTAAAAACAATTATTTTTGAAGCAGAACCAAAAATTAAAGAAATAAAAGATTATGCATTTAGAGATTGCAAAAATCTTTCAAATATAATCCTTCCAGTTTCTATTTCAAATATTGGAATATTTGCATTTTCTGGTTGCGATTCTCTTAAAACAATTAAATTCGGAAAAAAATTACAAAGAATTAATAAAAATGCATTTTTAGATTGCTTTCATCTTGAAACTATTGAATTTTCAGAATGCGAAAGTGTATCAATTAATGAATTTGCATTTGCTAACTGTAATAATCTCAAAAATATTATTTTTTCAAATAATATAACAACGATTCAGAGTTCATGTTTCTTGAATTGTTTTTCGTTGAGAGAAATTGTTTTCCCATCATCGTTAGAGAATATTGATACATATGCATTCAGTAACACAGGAATCACGAACATCACATTCCCAATTGACTCTAAACTTACATCTATTGGTATGGGCTGTTTCAGCAAATGTTATAATCTTTCACACATCACACTTCCTCCAAATGTCAAAGAGATCGGCTCCAACTGCTTCGAGAACACGAACATCACAACTTTCACAGTTCCAAATCGCACAGAGTACATGTCAGACTACGTCTTCAAAGGATGCAAAAATCTCGTCAAGTTCACAATCCCACAAGACTGCTCTCTTCGAAACATCGGCAACTTGTTCTTCGACGGATGTTCATCTCTTTCTGTCATCGAATGTCCACGAAGTGAATACTTCTCAGTCGATGTCGGTGCTCTTTACAACAAGTCGGAGACAGTCCTCTTCTGCTTCCCTCCAGCGTCATATATCAAGTTCTTCAACCTCCCACAGACACTCCGAACTATATCATCAGGCGCATTCATCGGATGCAGAAATCTGATCAGCATCTCTATCCCAGACGACTCCGTTCGTACCATCAAACAATATGCATTCGCGAACTGCTCTTCACTGACATCGATCAACATCCCTAAGTGCGTCGAAAACGTCGAGAGTTCTATCTTCTTCGGATGTGATCATCTTCGATGTGGTGTCATCATCGAGAACAGGTCAATCTCATTCATTCGAAAAATCATATCAGAATGTCTTCTTAACCCTAAAGCTATATACTCATGTGACTTCCTTACATGTCAATGCAGAATCATCAACGCCGAAATCACAAAATCACTTCTCTATGCATTCACTATTATTCTATACATTGGAATGTTATAAAGATATAAAACATCATTCAAATAAAATTTATTTTTATGCATTTAATTTACTATGATAAGTTTAATTTATTCATTTACATTTCACAAATTGAATCATTTGGTGTGAGAAAAATTTTTAAAAAATTGAAATTAATGAAATTCTATTCTAAGTTAAGGCTGTACTTATGCCCATTTGACTTTAAATCAAATTTTTGACAACCAGCGTGAAGTGTCATTGAACTTTAACCTTAATGACATGCCATAGGGGCGTAAGAGCAGCCTTAATTATATTATAAATATCATTTGGGAAAATTGAGAGGGTCAGTTCATTTGCGATTACCCCCTTCAATCTAAAAAATTTTTTGACACCAATTTCTAAATAGCTTTTGAAGAAAATTATCAAGACAATGATCGAATACTATATTCAACAAATGGTGTTACCGATATTGAGATCAAATCTGACTGCGAGGTCATCTATGGACAACTTGGACCCTCAATCTGTCTAAACTATGCATTTGAAGGAAGTAAGAATACACTCAATTCAGTTACATTTCAACAAAATTCCAAGCTTAACACAATTGGTGATTGCGCATTTTATCAATGTTCAAAACTCATCTCCGTTGATTTTTCAAATTGCAATTATCTTAGAATAATTAATACATATTCATTTTATCTATGCAAATCTCTAGCCAATATTTCATTACCATCATCTGCTCAAGTTTTATCAAAATATTGCTTTTCATATTGCAGAAAACTAGAGAAAATCATCATTCCTATGGGCTCAGAACTTCATACTATTGAAAGAGGCTGCTTCTGTGGAACAATTATCACAACTCTTTTCATTCCTAAATACGTTTCTATAATAAACGCAAATATAGAATCATCTCAAACACTGAAATCAATCGAATGTGATGAACATAACGAATTTTTCACATCAGTTGATGGAATTTTATATTCAAAAGATAAGAAAATACTAGTGTATTTCCCAGGAAATCACTCAAAATCATTTACAACTCCTGATTTTATTGAGAAAATAGGATATTATTCAGCTGGATACTCTTTAATTGAATCAATTATCTTCACACCAAATGTCAAAACGCTGGAGTCTTATGCATTTGTTTATTCATGCTTGAAATCAGTTAATATTCCAAATACTCTTCAATTTACAAGTTCTTGTGCATTTGCAGGTTCTAAGCATCTTACTGAAGTCACATTTGGAAATGAGTTAAAAATAATTTCACCAGGATGCTTCCAGGAAACCAATATTTCAAGTATTACATTTCCAGAAGGTTTGTTAACAATAGGCGATACAGCTTTTGCATATTGTAATAATCTCAAAAATGTTACAATTCCGAGATCAGTGAATTCCCTTGGCGGTCAGTGTTTTTCTCCTCAGACTGTTATCACATTTGCAGACGGATCTCCATTTTTCCAAGATGATCAAGAACTGATATATAATTCACGAACAACACTTGTTTTATATTTGAGTGAACGAGATTCATACACAATTCCATCATTTGTTGAAATAATACACAACAGTGTTTTCAGTGGCAACAATCATTTAACAACCATTCATTTTGAAGAAGAATCGAAACTTAAAGAAATAAATGATTATGCATTTAGAGGTTGCATAAATCTGACGAGCATCGAAATTCCAGATTCAGTTAACAAAATTTCCAATTTTGCATTTTCTGGTTGCACTTCTCTGAAAAAAATTAAATTCGGATATAAATTAAAAGAAATTTATTTTAAAGCCTTTGCTGAATGTTTAAACTTAGAATTAATCGAATTTTCCTGTTCTGAATATGTAACAATTAGAGAAAATGTATTTACTAATTGTAATAATCTCAAAAATATTATTTTTTCAAATAATATAACAATGATTCAGAGTTCATGTTTCTTGAATTGTTTTTCGTTGAGAGAAATTGTTTTCCCATCATCGTTAGAGAATATTGATACATATGCATTCAGTAACACAGGAATCACGAACATCACATTCCCAATTGACTCTAAACTTACATCTATTGGTATGGGTTGTTTCAGCAAATGTTATAATCTTTCACACATCACACTTCCTCCAAATGTCAAAGAGATCGGCTCCAACTGCTTCGAGAACACGAACATCACAACGTTTCATAGTTCCAAATCGCACAGAGTACATGTCAGACTACGTCTTCAAAGGATGCAAAAATCTCGTCAAGTTCACAATCCCACAAGACTGCTCTCTTCGAAACATCGGCAACTTGTTCTTCGACGGATGTTCATCTCTTTCTGTCATCGAATGTCCACGAAGTGAATACTTCTCAGTCGATGTCGGTGCTCTTTACAACAAGTCGGAGACAGTCCTCTTCTGCTTCCCTCCAGCGTCATATATCAAGTTCTTCAACCTCCCACAGACACTCCGAACTATATCATCAGGCGCATTCATCGGATGCAGAAATCTGATCAGCATCTCTATCCCAGACGACTCCGTTCGTACCATCAAACAATATGCATTCGCGAACTGCTCTTCACTGACATCGATCAACATCCCTAAGTGCGTCGAAAACGTCGAGAGTTCTATCTTCTTCGGATGTGATCATCTTCGATGTGGTGTCATCATCGAGAACAGGTCAATCTCATTCATTCGAAAAATCATATCAGAATGTCTTCTTAACCCTAAAGCTATATACTCATGTGACTTCCCTACATGTCAATGCAGAATCATCAACACTGAAATCACAAAATCACTTCTCTATGCATTCACTATTATTCTATACATTGGAATGTTATAAAAATATTTATATTAAATGCTTTTCTGAGTAATATATATCTGAATACACAGCATAATATTTAAATAATTATAGTAATAAAAATTTAATAGAATAATACCCTTGGTATAACATTCTTTGATTTTACTTAATACCCTTGAAAACAGATTCATATCATTCATTAATTCATTTCTTATATCATTTCGGAAATAAAATTTTTACACACAAATAACTTTAAGCTTAATTAACTCACACATATATCACAAATTAAAGCAGTTGGTGTGATAAATAAAATACCCTCAATTTTTTACTTTTGCAACTCAATATGGAGAAATTTTTTCAAATTATAGAACTATTTGAAATACATTAGAGACCAACATTGATATGGAAGCATAGTATATCAAAAAGCCTTTATAATGGTAATACTATGATGGACAAATACTAAAATTTGACTCAGTTATAATCAAATTTTTGATCTCAGGGCACACATATCACAAATTAAAGCAGTTGGTGTGATAAATAAAATAAATGAAATGCTTACTCACCAATAATTTGATGTTAAGTCAATTATATTATAAATATGATCAATATAAAAATTTGATCAATTACAGTTGAAATCAATAATGATCAGATTTTGAAAAGATTTTCAGAAATCATTCAATCTTAAATTTTTTTGACATCAGTTTTTAAATAGTTTTTGAAGAAAATTATCAAGAAAATGATCGAATATTATATTCTACAAATGGTGTTACCGATATTGAGATCAAATCTGACTGCGAAATCATCTTTGGACAACTTGGTCCACTAACATGCGGAAATTATGCATTTGAAGGAAGTCGAAACACACTCAAATCTGTAAGATTTCAACAAAATTCTAAACTTAACACGATCAGCGACTGTGCATTTTTCAGTTGCAGAAAACTCATCTCAGTTGATTTTTCAAATTGCAATTATCTTAAAACCATTAAGACATCTTCATTTTATCTATGCAAATCTCTAGTCAATATTTCATTACCAACATCTGTTCAAGTTTTATCAAAATATTGCTTCAAGTATTGTTTGAGATTAGAAAATATTCTTGTTCCAAGAGATTCAAACCTTCATACTATTGAAAGAGGCTGCTTCTGTGGAACAATTATCACAACTCTTTTCATTCCCAAATACGTTTCTATAATAAACGCAAATATAGAATCATCTCAAACACTGAAATCAATCGAATGCGATGAACAAAATGAATTTTTCACATCAGTTGATGGAATTTTGTATTCAAAAAATAAGAAAATATTGATATGTTTCCCAGGAAATCATTCAAAATCATTTACAACTCCTGATTTTATTGAGAAAATAGGAAGTTATTCTTTTGGATACTCTTTAATTGAATCAATTATTTTCACTCCAAATGTAAAAACACTCGATACATGTTCATTTGCTTATTCACATTTAAAATCAGTGAATATACCAAATATTCTTCAATTGACAAGTTCTTATGAGTTTGTGTACTGTAGGCTTTTAACAGAGGTTATGCTTGGAAATGAGGTTAAAGCTATTACACCAGTATGTTTTAAAGGAACTAATATTTCATGTATTACATTTCCAGAAGGATTGTTAACAATTGGTTTTACAGCTTTTGCAAATTGTAATAATCTCAAAGCTATAACAATTCCGAGATCAGTGAATTCTCTTGGAGGTCAATGCTTTCCTCCTCATACTGTTATCACATTCGAAGATGGATCTCCTTTTTTCCAAGATGATCAAGAACTGATATATAATTCACGAACAACACTTGTTTTATATTTGAGTGAACGAGATTCATACACAATTCCATCATTTGTTGAAACAATACACAACAATGTTTTCAGTGGTAACAATCAATTAATAACCATTCATTTTGAAGAAGAATCGAAACTTAAAGAAATAAAAGAAAGTGCTTTTAACAATTGCATAAATCTAACAAACATCGACATTCCAAATTCTGTAATTAGAATAGAAACTTGGGCATTTTTTGAATGTATTTCTCTGAAAAAAATTAAAATTGGACATCAATTAAAAGAAATTTATTTTAAAGCCTTTAGTGGATGTTTACATTTAGAATCAATCAAATTTTCCTGTTGGGAAAATGTAACAATTAGAGAATTCGCATTTGCTAACTGTAATAATCTTAAAAATATTATTTTTTCAAATAATATAACAGCGATTCAGAGTTCATGTTTCTTGAATTGTTTGTCGTTGAGAGAAATTGTTTTCCCATCATCGTTAGAGAATATTGATACATATGCATTCAGTAACACAGGAATCACGAACATCACATTCCCAATTGACTCTAAACTTACATCTATTGGTATGGGTTGTTTCAGCAAATGTTATAATCTTTCACACATCACACTTCCTCCAAATGTCAAAGAGATCGGCTCCAACTGCTTCGAGAACACGAACATCACAACGTTCATAGTTCCAAATCGCACAGAGTACATGTCAGACTACGTCTTCAAAGGATGCAAAAATCTCGTCAAGTTCACAATCCCACAAGACTGCTCTCTTCGAAACATCGGCAACTTGTTCTTCGACGGATGTTCATCTCTTTCTGTCATCGAATGTCCACGAAGTGAATACTTCTCAGTCGATGTCGGTGCTCTTTACAACAAGTCGGAGACAGTCCTCTTCTGCTTCCCTCCAGCGTCATATATCAAGTTCTTCAACCTCCCACAGACACTCCGAACTATATCATCAGGCGCATTCATCGGATGCAGAAATCTGATCAGCATCTCTATCCCAGACGACTCCGTTCGTACCATCAAACAATATGCATTCGCGAACTGCTCTTCACTGACATCGATCAACATCCCTAAGTGCGTCGAAAACGTCGAGAGTTCTATCTTCTTCGGATGTGATCATCTTCGATGTGGTGTCATCATCGAGAACAGGTCAATCTCATTCATTCGAAAAATCATATCAGAATGTCTTCTTAACCCTAAAGCTATATACTCATGTGACTTCCTTACATGTCAATGCAGAATCATCAACACTGAAATCACAAAATCACTTCTCTATGCATTCACTATTATTCTATACATTGGAATGTTATAAAAATATTTATATTAAATGCTTTTCTGAGTGATTTATGTTAATAGACACATATACTAGAAGTGTTTCAACCTCAAATTGAATACAATGTTAGGTTAATATGATTTTCAAATATATATTTCATATGTGACTTCATATTTAAAATGAAAAATACCTAAATTTAAGTTTTAAATCAGAATTGTATATTCCTTTTGATTATTTCATCTGAAAAATAGACATTTTTACTCACTAATAACTTTATGCTCAGTTTACTCTCATATACACGACAAATTAAAGCAGATAGTGAGATAAAGAGTAGGGGTAATTTTAGCTAAAAGTGACACACCCTTCACGGGTGTGATTACCGATCGGTAATTTCGACAGTTTAGAATTTAAAATTTTTTATGGAACTGTTGCGAGTTTCATAAAGAATTTAAGGAATATAAGCAAAGATTTGAATCAAAATCTTAGACCTAAGCCGCTCGATTCGCTCGCGGCTTCCGCGAATTACAGATCAGCAAAGATTTGAATCAAAATCTTCGAACTAAGCCGATCGCTTCGCTCGCGGCTTTCTTTATTATTTTAAATTTGCATATTTCCATCAAATGTTCATAAGGTAAAAAATTTCGTTTATATTATTGCAAAATAAAATCTTCATTATCAAAATAATATTAAATGATAATATAATATAATTTATAAACAACTATTATTTAATAAAGTTTAATTGCCAAGGTTCATCTAATATTTTGATTTTTAATGTTTTATGAATTTTATTTATCATGTATATATCTAATGAAGATTATATATGTAGAAGATAAGTACCTTAATATGTACGTAAAAATTAATGAAATTTATTTTGAATGTAGAACCGAGCAATTTTCAAATTTTGTGCTTTTTTTGAATTTTCTCGATACCAGATAAGTTGTGTTGGCTAAATAATATATGGATACAATGTGTCTTATAGATGAATATATGCACAAAGTTTAAGAGGCCATTTTCTTTCAGAAACCGAGATTTGTGAATTTTTTCAAATTTTGTGCTTTTTTTGAATTTTCTCGATACCAGATAAGTTATGTTGGCTAAATAATATATGGATACAATGTGTCTTATAGATGAATATATGCACAAAGTTTAAGAGGCCATTTTCTTTCAGAAACCGAGATTTGTGAATTTTTTCAAATTTTGTGCTTTTTTTGATATTGAAATTTCATTTCATTTTTTTGATGCATATCGATGCACCATGCGAACTTAAAGAAAGGCTATCTTATATAGATGCTATGAAAGCTGTCATTGATAACGAATGCCATGCAGGTTGTCCATATCAATTAAAAAAAATCCAAATTTAGGGGGAACAAAATTAAAATTCAGGTGCAGTGCAAATAAATGTGAAGCATGTATCTCATTTCTAAAGGATGATGAAGAATATATCCTAACAGAATATAATGGAACACATAATCACAATCAAATCAAAGATGAGACAAAGAAATACCACACATTATCACAATGCTATCGTCGGGTACTTATTAATTTTATAAAACAGGGGGTGATCCGAAAATGGCTCAAATTGAATGCGACAAAAAACTTGATCTGGATGATCCACTTAACAGGCCATCTTTTTTGAATGCATCTTCAGATCAAATGAAAACAATTCAGGAAAAAGGAAATAAAAAGATCAAAGGTATTCAAAAGTACGATGATAATCAATTCAAGTCAACTCAATTATTTAAGGGTATCAAAGAACAAGAGTCACCAAAAGATTTAATTTATTTCGATGTCGATAATTACAACAAACCAAAGAAATTAATCTTTTATTATGCTTCTTTCAAATTTCTGGACATAATCAAAATTGTGAAAGAGCATTTTATTGATGCAACCCATTCATTACTTGAATTTAAAATGTTGTTTTACATGATATCAGCCAAATTTCCAAATACACATGCATTCCCAATTTTTCAATTTGTCGTTTATCCAAACACTTCAGAAAATATTGCATTCTGTCTCAAGGCATTTTTTAACTGGGCAAAAGTAAAACCAAAATATTTTATGTCAGATTGTGCACAAGAAATCGAAAATGCGATTATCAACTCTTTTCCAGAAGTTATCCTTCATTGGTGTGCAGTTCATGTAATGAGGGCGTTCAGAAAAAATTTGAAAGATTATGCATTTGAGAGTTCAGACAAATTGATATTAGATACAAAAATGAACTATCTTGCATACGGCAGAAATGGCAAGAAAGAATGGATTGAACCAACGTTCAAAAAAATTCTGGAAATAGCCGAAAAATTCCCAGAATTTTCAAAATACATACAAAATCAATGGATATCAAACCAAGAAAGATGGACAGCCGCTGAAAGAGATGAAAATTTAGCTCTCACAAATAACATTTCAGAATCGATTAACAAAAAAATTAAATATTACTACTTTGGCGGAACAATTTTCATGAGATTTGATCGATTTGTGATGAAATTAATCGATTTTATCGTTCCTTCATTTTATTACAGAATTTCTCAAGATATAAGGCTCAGAGACAAAATTCCAAATCCGTTGCCATCTGAAAAAAAGCCAAAAAAGTCTACAATCAGACTGGATACAGAAAAATGTATAATGCTCACTGATAAAATTAAATCGTTAATAGTTAACTCATCAGCAAACTTAAATACGCTTCAATTGGGTTTAGATGACCTACTTGATAAAGTTGTCAAGGCAGCAAAGGTTCAAAAACGAATGACCCAGTATTTTTCGAAATTAAGTATCCCAATGGAAATCAAGCTTAGTATTCTCACGCAAATTACAGAATTTGGATGCAATACCCCTCAATTCATTGTTGAGAATGCCAAGTCTTTTCAAGATAAAATTATTACAGATTTCCACCTTCAAATTTATACAACATTATAAAAATTTATGAATAAAAACTTGATATAAAATAACATTTTTATTTTTACTAAGAAAAAAAGGTTTTTGATAATAAATTTATTTTATTTCGAAAAAGTAGCAATAATCGTAAAAGGGTATTGATAGGCTTGCTAAAGTAACTAATTTTAGCTGTCAAATACTTTTGTATTTTGAAGTAAATTAGTATAAATTTGTTTTTACTTTTATTTCGAAAAAGTAGCAATAATCGTAAAAGGGTATTGATAGGCTTGCTAAAGTAACTAATTTTAGCTGTCAAATACTTTTGTATTTTGAAGTAAATTAGTATAAATTTGATATTATTTTAACTCCCTTTGAAAACCTCAATTTTCCATACAGAGGGAACGGGAATAACATCCAATATTCCCTGAGAATGGTTGCGCATTCTCAGTTCCCTCTATATTTCGAACGAAGCTCTCATCGGTCTTTTTTTTTAATACTAAACGTTTTTTTTCCTGTCACTTTTAGCTAAAATATGGGTTTGCCAAATCAATATTGATCAGATTTTGAAAAGATTTTCAGAAACCATTCAATCTTAAATTTTTTTGACATCAGTTTTTAAATAGTTTTTGAAGAAAATTATCAAGACAATGATCGAATATTATATGCCACAAATGGTGTCACAGATATTGAGATCAAATCTGACTGCGAGATCATCTTTGGACAACTTGGTCCACTAACATGCGGAAATTATGCATTTGAAGGAAGTCGAAACACACTCAAATCTGTAAGATTTCAACAAAATTCTAAACTTAACACGATCAGCGACTGTGCATTTTTCAGTTGCAGAAAACTCATCTCAGTTGATTTTTCAAATTGCAATTATCTTAGAACAATTAACAAATATTCATTTCGATATTGCATTTCTCTAGTCAGTATTACACTTCCATCATCTGTTCAAGTATTATCTCAATTTTGTTTTAGAAATTGCTTCAAATTAGAAAATATTAATATTCCAAGAGATTCCGAGCTCCGAACAATTGAAAAAGGATGTTTTGAAGCAACAAGTATCTTATATCTTTTTATACCAAAGTACCTTTCACGAATGGAGGCGATGTATATATATATATACAGCAACCTAAAACACTTAAATTCATCGAATGCGATGATTTGAATGAATTCTATACTTCAGAGAATGGCATTTTATATACAAAAGATAAAAAATCATTAATTTTTTTCCCCGCAAACTACTCAAAAACATTTATCACGCCAGATTTTATTGACACAATTGAATATTATGCTTTTGGTTATTCTCTAATTGAATCAATAAATTTCACAGCAAATGTGAAAACTCTTGGCGGATTTGCATTTGTTCACTCTAATTTAAAGACAGTTAATATCCCAAATACAATGCAATTGAAGAATTTTGGGGAATTTGAATCATGTGAAAGTTTAAATGAAATCATTTTAGGAAACGAAATCACCAAAATTACTTCATATTGCTTTGCAAATACAAACATATCGAGTATAATACTTCCAGAATTATTAGTATCCATATATTATAATGCTTTCGCAAATTGTACAAATCTAAGAGCAGTCATAATTCCAAGATCTGTGAATTATCTCGGAGGCCATTGTTTTCCACCTTCCACCTTAGTTACTTTTGCTGAAGGTTCATCCTTAATCCAAGATGAACAAGGTCTAGTTTATAGCAGACAAACAGAACTTGTTTTATATCTTCGTGATAATTATTCATATACCATCCCTTGGTTTGTAGAGTCACTCGGAAACGGAGTATTCAGTGAAAATTATCAATTGAAATCAATTATTTTTGAAGATAATTCAGTCGTTAAATCTATTGGAAAGAATTCATTTGCCAATTGCCCAAATTTGACATACATTATTATCCCAGATTCTGTAATGGTTATTAAAGATAGTGCATTTACGGGTTGCACTTCTTTGAAAAACTTTAAATTTGGACCTAATATACAATCAATCAATTATAAAGCCTTTGAAAAATGCATAAATATTGAAACAATCGAATTTTCTGGTGGCCAAAATACAACAATTTCGAATTATGCTTTCTTTGACTGTAATAATCTCAAAAATATTATTTTTTCAAATAATATAACAGCGATTCAGAGTTCATGTTTCTTGAATTGTTTGTCGTTGAGAGAAATTGTTTTCCCGTCATCGTTAGAGAATATTGATACATATGCATTCAGTAACACAGGAATCACTAACATCACATTCCCAATTGACTCTAAACTTACATCTATTGGTATGGGTTGTTTCAGCAAATGTTATAATCTTTCACACATCACACTTCCTCCAAATGTCAAACAGATCGGCTCCAACTGCTTCGAGAACACGAACATCACAACTTTCACAGTTCCAAATCGCACAGAGTACATGTCAGACTACGTCTTCAAAGGATGCAAAAATCTCGTCAAGTTCACAATCCCACAAGACTGCTCTCTTCGAAACATCGGCAACTTGTTCTTCGACGGATGTTCATCTCTTTCTGTCATCGAATGTCCACGAAGTGAATACTTCTCAGTCGATGTCGGTGCTCTTTACAACAAGTCGGAGACAGTCCTCTTCTGCTTCCCTCCAGCGTCATATATCAAGTTCTTCAACCTCCCACAGACACTCCGAACTATATCATCAGGCGCATTCATCGGATGCAGAAATCTGATCAGCATCTCTATCCCAGACGACTCCGTTCGTACCATCAAACAATATGCATTCGCGAACTGCTCTTCACTGACATCGATCAACATCCCTAAGTGCGTCGAAAACGTCGAGAGTTCTATCTTCTTCGGATGTGATCATCTTCGATGTGGTGTCATCATCGAGAACAGGTCAATCTCATTCATTCGAAAAATCATATCAGAATGTCTTCTTAACCCTAAAGCTATATACTCATGTGACTTCCTTACATGTCAATGCAGAATCATCAACGCCGAAATCACAAAATCACTTCTCTATGCATTCACTATTATTCTATACATTGGACTGTTATAAACATATTTATAAAATACAAGAGTCTTTTATTGTAAAGTTATATGGAAGAAATACTCATCATTTTGTCAAAAAAGTATAACAACCATATTAAGTATTAAATATTTTATTATAATATGTTTTCCACACTAATGATGATTGTATGTACAGTATATTCAATGACCAAAAGGATAAAAATTACAAGATCTCAGCGAGCACAATTTTTTTTTCCAGTCCTTTTGACTTCAGTCATTATAAGCAGTCCAGCTCCTACCTTTGTGATTAAGTGACAATACAGCATATGTCCATTGCTGAGGTAGAACTAAAAGTAAGAATTGTAAAAATTAAGAATAAAATCTTTTTGGAAAAAATTCAATCTCTCAATTGTATATTTCCAAATAACAATATTAGAAATGAATGATTTGATGTAGAATATTAAAAGTGTTTTTTCCAAATTCAAAAAATATTTTTTTGTCAAAATTTTCGATTTGGAAAAATTTAAAGGTACGGACACTCTTTAACCTTATTTTATTTAAAAATGCTAGGGTATTTTCAAGGATCATATCTCCCTATGTATTTTATTAAGCAAGCCATCAATGGGGCAATGCAACAGAACATAGCAACCTATACTATATAATAGGATGTTAACTAGAATGATCTCTCTTTGGATTGATTATATTTTACAATTTCAGTAAATGTCGTTAAAAACTATTCACAGTAATAGAGTAGCTTCTAAAATGATTAAAACCAAGAATCAAGTTTACAAAAGCATAGATTAAAATATGAAATTTCGATTCGATAGTATCCAGCCAAAATTTTTGTTAGATAATCAGATATATAAATAGCATTCAAATGGTAAGTGCACAGTTGAAATATACAGTAAATTTGTCAATACAATTTTTGTGTAGAGATTAAATTGCGATGTTAAAATGCATTGATGCAGTTTTGTAGAAGTGTTTTGACTTTTTTTACCAAATTATATTTGTTTGCCATACAATTACTTGGATTTCATGAGGTTTATTCCAAATTGAAATTTGAAATCTTATCACACTGTTATTTTTTGATATCGTAATCAATAACTATTACCAGGAAATTACGAATACACTTAGATACATTTATTCTATTGACTTGTTGTTGATGAAATAAAATCATTATTAATTTACCTTCAATTTGTATGACATATATCATTTTTATCATAATTGCTGAGATTTGAACAGCTTAAAGTTGAAGAATGAAAAAATTTAATATCAGAATCAAAAAATATTGCAATTTTGTACTTCAAAACGATTGTACTTCAAAGTTTGAATAATAATACAACAAGTTGGTTTTCCAAAAAATATTCTAAATCTATTTTTTCATGTGAAAAATCAGATATTTGATTTTCATTTTTCATTTTTTGAAATTTTTTTGGAATTTTCAACTATGACCCAGAGCAGAAAGAGTATCGCAACTTTATTTAATAGCATATAATATGATGGATTATATGTTTATTTTATACTCGTATTTTTGATCACAAATATCATACCAATTAATATGCAATTTTATAACAAAAGTATTACAATGTTCACAAATATGAGCTAAATCAGTAAAACACGTCGAAGAAAAGAGTATAAAACATATTTTTAGTCTATTTATTTTCAAATTACAAGTTTCAATATGCAACGCTAAAATTGTAGTAGACGTATGAGATCCGTGAACTTGTTAGTACTACGTGCATGATAAAGTAAGCTTCAATTTTATACCAATATTGTAAATTGAATTAAATTTACGGCATTATATTGATATATAATTCGTTTTATGATATAGCACTGATATGCTACGTGCACTAGATTGTACTATCGTGACATTTAAGAGATTTTTCTCGATAATTCTGGATGATTATATATCTCTAGATTGTATTTGCCGATTTTTCCCAAACTACGTATTCTACATATGAATAATATGTATAGTCTTCAGCTGGAGTTTAAGGCCAAAATTTTGGTTAGAAGGGAGTGTCCGTACCTTTAAAAATTTATGGAATTTCTCGCTTTCAAATTTCAAAGGAAAACGTGAAATCAATTTTTGTCTGAATTTGTTCACTTTATATTAGTGATGGAAGAATTGATTTTCAATCTTCGGAATATTACAAACGAAGATGCCAAACTCAGAGCTGAAGCAGAAACATATATCAATACCCATAAACAAGACACTCCTGTTGAATTTTTTATTCTTTTATTTCAATGTGCTCAGCAAAATATCAATGACATAGCTGGAATGCAAGCGCTGATTATAGTTTCCTCGTATTTAACACCGCAACAGTTCTACACTCCCCAAAAAATCAGATTTTTTTGGGAAAATTTGACTCCAGAAGCAAGAGCAGAACTCACATCATTTATAATTGAAATATCATACAGTAATGACGTAAAAATATCCAATAGTGCACTTAAAATTCTTAATTCATTACAAAAACTCCAGCCAACTACATCTAACGGGGTTTTCAGTGCAATCAAAGCGCAGCTTGAAAATGGCAATGTCAAAGACTCTCTAATTATTATTCAATCTTTTTGCAGCAACAACAATATTGTTCCATCAACAGATTCTGCTGATATTTACAATTTACTTTGCCAGAAGACATCAGAAATTGATCCTTCCAACGAAATCTTTATTTACCTTTACCCAGCGCTACAATCAATGCTTCCAATTTTTGGAAATGAAGAAGGCTTCATTTCTCAGATGGAAGTTTTCCTTTATCAAGTTGTTTTCCTTAGGATACATGATTTGGCAACAAATATGGACGCAAAATGCCTTCATTTACTATTTGATATTATTTTCCAAATATTTTTGATTTTGTACGACCACGACAACAGAAATCAGATACTAATGAGTGAGAACTTCGTCAATTTCCTCCTTTCATGCTTCGATCCAGTGAACGGAAGGCAAATTAACTTAGAAGTTTTAAATTTGTTCATAAGGATCTCAAACAAAGAAATTGAAGCGAAAAATAGTGTTTTAGCCAAAAAGTCCGTCGAAGCAGCCGCAGAAATCCTCTTTTCCGACTCTCCAAAATTATCAAATTATACACCACAAATTAATACAATGCCTTACCGCGAGTACTTATCGGTAATGTCAGATCAGATCCTTCAAGCCATTAAAACAATACTTTTCGACTTTGGATCTGAAGATTTACAAAATTTGTCAGTTTTACACTATTACGACAAAGATTCTCTTCCTCCACATATGGAAGTGATCATTCTGGCCAATAATCTTGCAGCAATTTGTGTTCAAAGTGACAAATTTTTCAAAGATATTCTTCAAGAATTAAATAACTTGGGAGAACAGTCACCGCAATCAGCTATGATACATCTAGAAGTGTTGAATGCATTGTTCGCATGCGACAATAATGATAATCATCTGTTTACTCAAGAAAATGAATTTATTGCTGACTGTATCAAGTCAGAAGCTGATTCAATCTCCGAAATGGCCATGTTATTAATCATTGGTGCTGACGATAGGTACTTTTTCAAAGATTTATTCCCATCATCAGAACAATATAAAGTAAAAATCGAAGAAACGATATTCTATCGCTACCACCAAGCTTTAATGAGTGTTATTTCAAGCAACCGCGATATCCAGTTAGTTAAATATGCTTGTGAGACCTATTTAAAGCTAATTGACACAAATTACCAGAGATATGTACAATATCAAAATACAATTGGATTCATTTTCGATAAGACAATACCAATTATCGAAAAATTCACCAATTTCTTGCTCGAAAACTACAAGGGAGACACTTTCATTTTCCAAAAGTGTTATGAGATGTATGGTCATATCATTAAGAACTTTGATAGGAACCTGTACAACGTATATGGTAAGTACTGCAAGGAGAAAATGGAAGATACCATCGAAAAACTCCATAAAACTTATTTAATTTCCGAAACAGTCTCTTCCATAGAAAGCAGCCAAGCCAGGGAAGTCTTTTTAATGTTTATCAACTATGCTGCAACTAATAATGACAGTAGATGGTTTGATATTGCAAACGATTTCCTTCCTTTAGTTATAAAGCTTTACGAAGAAACAAAGGACTCAGATGTGATTCAATGTATTTTTAACATTTATAATATACTAGGACCAGTTAATCAGGAGCAATATAATTCGATGATTGAAGATTTTTGCCTAGAATTCTTGGGATCACAGAACGTTGAGCAAACAATACTTGGCTGCACATTTGTAATGTCCTTGTACACAAAATCTTACGATAAAATTGTAAAACATAATACTGATCCAATTTCCATGTTCAATTCAGTTTTCTCTATTCTTAATAACAACTGGATACTTGAACAAATACTTCCTGCCGTTCTTGAGGCTCTCACGACCATTTTACGCTACGGATTTTGTTTCAAATCTTATTTTGACTCAAAAATTGAACTAGCAGCTGACAATATTGATGACTTCGAAATTATGACTGACGAACAAGTGAAAAAACCTGGAAAATACAGACAAGCCGAAAAATCTGATTCAAAATTAGTAAAATTAGTCGGAAAAGACGTCAGCGAAGTAAGCAAAGCATCTCTTAATGAAATCTGCACTCAACAGCAAGAACTTGTAGGAGATTTCGGAACATATCCAGAAGAAGTTCAAGCCATCATCTCAGAACTTATTGATATTATTGCAAACAGGTTTAACTTCGTATATGATGCCGAAGACCCAGAAAATTCATGCGAAAATGTTTTAATTAAGGCATTTGAATTTCTCAAGACCGTTGTGTTAAGAATTGGAACAAGCCAATTCATCCTTGACCATAGAATTAATATCCTCAAGATTGTTCGCATTATTTCAGATAATGAAATTCAAAATCCAGTTGTTTTGGAAAAATACATGGCTTTTTATAAAGCAATGGCCAATGTTTTCTTCTCTACAGAAATAAACATGTTTACAAGGCCGTTCTTCGTCAGGAAGGAGTTTGTCTTTCCAATTGTCATCGCTCAGGCTGTTTTGTTTAGCCAGAATGGATTATATAACCCTAAAGACTTGGCAGAGTATATAACTGGAAAGAGAAATGAATACAGCCAAAAAGTAAATTCGAGATAAATTCTTTGTCTATTTTTTTTTTAAGGGTGCACTTTCTGACACACTCTCAATTTTTTTGACACCTAAGTTTTAAATACCAATTTTCTAAGGTCAATAGTTAATATTTTTGGTCGGGAAAAAGTTATCACAAATCACCACTTAGTACTTCATATGGCTGTTATACTTTCATGTAAATAAGTGCACTATTAATTATATTGTTTCAACGAAGCAGTTGAATGAGTCAAGTTATTTAGAATGAAATTTAATTGGAAGCATACAGAGATACAGACCCACTATTTCTCAACGCTACTATATGCCATATGGCTGGATTGAGGAGATGAGGCTATTTTCTGCTTGTGTGTGAGTTCTCTAATCAATAGAATCTATCAAAATGATAGTGTCTTTGAAATAAATTAGGAAATTTTCGATGTTGTTAGCTGAAACCCTTATCATATAAAGTAAATTCAACAAATTGGATCAAAGCTAAGAAAGCAAGCATGTAATTTCACTTAAAAAGCAAATTCAAGAATTAAAAATTTCGTTTTTTTAAAAAAAAAGCAAAAAAAGGAATTAATAAAAAATCAGAATTACTCCTGCTTGCGTCCAGCGAAGTGGAAGAGGAGGTTCATCATCTGTGCACCACAGAATCTTCCAAGGGAGCCCTTGCAAGCAGCAGTTTCTGTAAATTCGTGAACTGAATCTGTTGGAACGAGTTCTGGCTTCTTTGACTGATCAACGTGCTTGATTCCGAGTTCCTGAGCGACCTTTGCAACCTCAGCAACGATGAAAGGAACTGGCTCGAAGCAGTGGTCCTTCCATGTGCAAGATGTAGAGTGATCGGCTGTAACTGCGACGATGAATCTGTCACCGTTCTTTTCTTCAAGCTCTGCGAGTTTTTCGATGAGAAGATGAATTGCCTTGTCAGCACGTTCGATTAATTCTGTTTTGACGGCAATTTTGCCATCATGAGCAGCATCGTCGATTCCTTTCATGTGGATGATGCCCATATCGTATTTGTCGCCATCGAGTTCTTGTGCGGCTGCAATTGCCTTAGCGTTGAAATTAGAATCCATATCTCCTGTAGCACCCTTAACTTTGATGACTGGGAGGCCAACAGAGATACCAAGGCCAGCAATGATGGCTGTTGGGGCAATAAGGAATGCCTTAATGTTATGTCTTTCGCCAAATGGTTGGCAAGAAAGTCTCATGCCTGGGCCACGGAGAAGAATGACGTTGGCAACTTCTTTGCCTTGCTTGCGTCTCTCGATATTGATTGGATGGTTCTCGAGGGCCTTTCTGAATGTGTCCGAAAGAGCATTAACAACTTTTGCAGTGTAAGCAGCTTCTGGGGAGTCATCGAGTGGGTATGATTTGATGAGATCGAGGTCATCGTGAATTGGATCTGTACCTGCGATCTTGTCTGATAAGCCTGGAGCCAAAATCTTGACAGCGCAACGGTGTTCTGTAGCGTAAACAACGGAAACCTTGACTTCTGGGAACTCTGGAATCTTGATACCATCAAGATCCTTGCAGAGGATTGGACCTTCAACTTCGAAATGACGGTCGCAGCGACGATATTTGACGCATTCGCCATACATTGTAGAGAAGTTGGATTTGAAGGCAATAGAACCTGGCTCCATGTCCATGCCGCCGCCTAATGCTTCGAAAGCACCACGGCCGTTGTAATATGTGAATGGAGGATAGCCGAAAAGAGAAAGGTGAGCAGTATCACTTCCGCATGGATAACCTGGTGAAACGGAATCATTGAGTCCAACTGTACCAGCTTTCGCGATTGCATCCAAAGTTGGTCGCTTCGCCATTTCAAGGCATGTGCCTTTTCTTCCATCTGGAAGTGTGTGTGTGGTATCTCCAAGTCCATCAAGAATGCAGAAAACGATTTTTGCTGGTTTAGACATTGTGATTTTTGGGGATCAAAAAATGAATTGAAAAAAATTTTGCTATCGTTAGTTCTCAGAAAAAAGTGAAAAGAAAATTTCATAAGTGAAGAGGTCGTAAAATGTAAAAACCAATGGATTCAAAAAAAAAAAAAAAAAAAAAAAAAAAGGTAGTGGGGCCTCCAGGCACTTCGTGCCCTCTAGCCCCGAAGATGTTTAGTATAATTGAAGTATAAAATGAGGTTTTTTTTGGTATAGGGGGCTTCCCAGGGGCTGCGCCCCTTCTAGCCCATAAAATTTTTGAAAGTCGTTGCTGTTGACTTTTCGGTAAAAAAATAGTACAACTTTGTCCGGACAAGTAAGGGTCTATCGTCGCTACAGGAAAAGTTACGGGCGTTCCAAGGAAGTATACTTTGAGAAGCCTTTTCTGTCACTTTTCAGGTAAAAACATTTTTATTATTGTATATAAAATGAATTTTACAAAACCACCGTTACCCTTCTTTGGAAATAAGAGTAGATGTAAAGATATTCTATTGAGAGAACTTAAGAAACTACCGAATGGTCTAACATTTGTAGACTTGTTCGGTGGAAGTTTCTATATATCTCATTTGTGCCATACAATATTTCCTGACTCAAAGATTATATGCAATGACTTCGACAACTATATGAACCGTCTCAAACATATACCAGACACAAACAAAATATTGAAAGAGTTAAAAGAAAAGATACCTATAGGTAAGATGGAACGTATACCATTAGATAAGAAAGATATTGTCAGAGAGGTTTTGAAAAAAGCAGAGTATATAGACTGGGATAGTATATCTGCTAGACTATTATATAGTGGTTCTATAAGAGTTCATGACATTGAAACACTTATGTCAAACGTTTTATATCTTAACTATACAAACGTTTTCAAAGAGAACATAGAAAAATATATTGAGGGTATAGAGTTTGTGAGATGTCATTGGACAGAGTTGTATGAAAAATTTAAAGACAAGGAAAATGTTTTCTTTATAGTAGATCCGCCGTTCTATAACACATACGATTTTCAATACCAAGTAGACTGGACTTTGAGAGACTCTTTAGAAACTTTAGACGTTTTACATAACCATCCATGCTTTTACTTTACATCCGATAAAAGTGGTTTGGAAAGTGTCATGAGATGGTTAGAGGACATACATGACTATGAGTTTAGATATGACAAGATAGAATATGAGAGAGGTCCTATAAACCGGAAAAAGTGTCATAACAAAGAAATTTTACTAGTAAGTAAATGTGGTTTGAAATAGGACTACTTGTTTTAGGTTTTTTCCATTGTGTCATTTACTTATTTGACGTGGCAGAAAGGTACAGAGAATATGAAGATGAACCAATACCAGCAAATGTTCAGCATATGTACTCGTAAGAGATATTTTTATCTAATATTAAATGGACGCACAGAACTTAGCGAATGCACAGCAACCTGGACAACCAAACCCAGAGAATATTCCAAATGAAATTAGAATACAAACTGCAATGGCAAACTATGGTCAAGTGCCAACAGATGTACAAATGCAAACTGCCATGTCAAATGACGCTGCGTTAGGTTTGCCACCATGGTATGCAAATATGAGATGGAAAGAGTTTTATACAAACCCTGAAGTGGGATATAAACAACTCTATGCAGATGACGCGAACACAGGAGTTGACCCAGAGTATGTTTTCTACCAGAGGAGAAATAGAATGTATGAGCTCCAGTTAAAAAATGCTATGGAACTCAACAGGAAACGTAAGAGACTAGGCGGACATTAGATTTTTACATATAGTAAAATGGGCTTCTTCAGTAGTATTGGAAACTTCTTCAGAAGAGTTGGAAGAGGTATATGGAATGGAATAAAATCTGTCGGAAGAGGAGTATGGAACGGAGTCAAAAATATTGGTAAAAGAGTAGGTCAGTTCGTTGGTATTATACCTAAAGACCCTGAACCAGAAGAACAAGCTCCTGTTATACAACAGCCTGAACCTGCACCACAGTCTAGTTGGCAACCAAATCCAACACCTCAACCGTATTAAAATTATATTTTTACCGTTCGATAGTAGTTGTATATGAAACTAAGTTCTAAGTAAAACGCATGGTATAATGGAACTATTCTCTTTCTTCCATCTGTTGTAAACCATACTTGAAAGTCTGAAATACTTCCACTCGGTGGTTCATATAGCTTTGTAGGTTTTTCGTAAAAGTCATTTGCCAAGCATAAAAAAGAGTTTTGGGCACCAGAAAATGAAGCATGAACTATAATAGCATCTGAGTCGAAAACATTTTCATATGTTCCATTAGGGTTTTCGACTTCATAAAAGTCCGGGTGTACTGGATATTCTGCAGGCTGATTTAACATCCTCAGAAACCTATACCATGCCAAGTTGTTATATTTTGTAGAAATATAAACGTTTTCTCCAAGGTCTTCTATTCTATTGAATTTAACAGTTGCATTTTTCCTGTCATATATAATATCGAGATGGTACTCTCCTTCGTCAATGTTAAACTGGTTTGCATATTCGAGATAGATATCGTTTATTTTTTCTTGAAAAGCTTGAAGAGTTGTTTCTAAGTTTACAAGCAAATTCACTTGTAAAAGTTTTCCCTGTACAAATTTCTCATACGTACGTTTTTCTTTGTTATAGTATCGAACTTCAAAACCGACCGTAAATGGGAAACCATGTATGGCTTCTGAAATGAACTTCATTCTACGAAAGCCAACAGCTTTTGTGACGGATGGGTCTCTTAGCCATCTTAACGGGTAGTCAAAACGATAGCCTTCATGCTTTACGGTCTCTGTCTCAAACTTTTGACCGACATTCGTAAAAAGTTCATCTAATGGTTTAGTTGTAGCAACTCTAGAAGTTTCTTTTTCTATTGGAAGCATATTTTATCTAGAATAAAAATGTCAAATGAAACAGCGTCTATGAGAGAAATACAACACAACCGACAACTCATTGTACAAGCTCTAAATAAGAACACAACAAACTTTTCAAACTATTCTAAGATATCTGAGTCATTGAAAGAAGGAAACTTAAAACTGACAATGAACCCAATGACAGATGAGTTTCTGTTTCAAGACAGTAAGAACCATACTGTCTGTGTAAATCCAACAAAAGGAACTTTAAACGAGAAACCTATAGATGAACTTCTTTTGAAAGCAGATGTTGGCAACAAAGCTGACAAAGAATATGTCATTGAAAAAGTTCAAGAAGAACATGACAGAGCAGATGCAACATATGCAACGAAAGAACATACTCATCCTGAACTAGCGGACAAAACATATGTTGACAATAAAATGTCAAGTGAAGTGACAAGAGCTGACAAAGAATATTCTAAAAAGACTCATACACATACCATTGCAAATATTACAAACTTACAAGAAACCTTAAACAGGAAAAGTGACGTTGGACATACACATACCATTGCAAATATTACAAACTTACAAGAAACTTAAACAGGAAAAGTGACGTTGGACATACACATACCATTGCAAATATTACAAATTACAAGAACCTTAAACAGGAAAAGTGACGTTGGACATACACATACCATTGCAAATATTACAAACTTACAAGAAACCTTAAACAGGAAAAGTGACGTTGGACATACACATACCATTGCAAATATTACAAACTTACAAGAAACCTTAAACAGTAAAAGTAACGTTGGACATACACATACAAGTTTTACAACTTTTACAGCAGATGATATTACACTAAACACAACCTTGCCAAGTAAAGCTCCAACAATACCACCGGCAACAAGTCTTGTAGATACTTTGATATCTAATGACAATAGTATTATACATCTAAGACAGGAACTCAATGTGCTTAAACAAATTTTGCCGAATCTTATTTACCCGGTTGGCTCTATTTATACGTCAATGAACTCTACCAGACCAGAAGTAGTACTTGGTTTTGGAACTTGGACTCAAATAGTCGACAGGTTTTTGTATTGTGCAAACTCTTCAAAGGAAACAGGTGGAAGTAAAACGATTTCAGGTGCAAATTTACCTGCGCACAGTCACTACGTAAGTTTAACTACATCTCGAGAAGGTGAGCATAGGCATAAATATTGGGATTGGACAGGAATGACAAAAGGTAAAGGATATGATGTTAAAGACAACGTTCAGTTTGCTATAAATTGTTACTTGAGTAACACTGAGGTAGGAGGAAACCATACACATTTCGTTTCAGGATATACACAAACAACGGGACAAAGTAAAGACTACATGCCACCTTACATGACAGTTTACGCATGGTATAGAAATGCTTAGTCGTCATTTTCAACTTCTTTAGCATATTCGTCAGGAGTTGTCTTATATTTGTTAGGAACTGTCTTTGAAAGTATACCACCTTGAACTTTGACAAGTTTGAAACGAGGTCTGACAATAGTAGTTTTATCTTCTGCTTGCAGTGTGTACATTTTGCCATGTTTGCCTAAAACTTCATAATATTCTCTTGTATACTTTCTTCTATTTTTACGAACACGAATGTGAGTACCTGTCGGGTTCCCATTGTTGTCATAGTCAATAGTATTTTCATATGGGTCGCGTTTAGGTATTTCTATTTTTACTTTGTCACCTTTCTGAAGTTTGAAGCCCGGCATTCTTTCTTGTTTGTCTCTTTTGATTAAATTGTTAAATATATAGTCTTTCTCTAAGTCAGGGTTGTTTTTCATTTCTTCGGGGGAGTGGTTTCCCAAACCTTTTTGTTTACGGCTATTGTAAATATTTAAAACTTGTCTCATCTTTGCCATGGAGAAGTGTCTATACTTGTCGTCATATGACATTTCATTTGCTTCACCACCTTGTGGTTGGTTTAAGTCTCTTAACATTTTTATACAACCGTCAATGACACCAAGAGCAGAATGGTTTTGGTCGACAATGAAATATTGGTTTACATTTTTTGAACGCAGATAGTTTTTAATATCGTCTGATTTGAAAGAACTTTCACAGTCAGATGTCAGTTTTGTTGGATGGTATTTGTCAACGAAGATTGTC